CTTCAGTTAAGTGCAATTAAACACTCTTTGAGGGAACTTGGAGGAATTGTAAGAGAAAGGAAGAATGGAGATATTTCACTTTCATTTTTGTGTCTTTTACTTACATTTAAGCAATTATGAGTAGGTGCCTGTGGATTTGGCATACAGTTCTTTAAAGCCATGAAAGTTAGAAAGTGAAACTTAAATAAAGCCACAAATATCACTTTTCAATTTCTCTTGACAATAGAAGAGGATATTATTTAGACCATCTCCTAAACCATTACACAAAAATCATTGCACAACATTTTTTCAGTTTCGCTGTAGGCCTGCTCTTTGCCTGATAGTATATTTTAGAGAGAATAGTATACCACTGAAGTTGGCCAGATCACAGGCTTTGAATAGTGTTCTTCCTTTTTTTTTTTTAATTTTGTGGGGAATTTATTTACAAGTAACTGGACTGTAAACTAAGCCTTATTAATAGCATGGTTTTGCAGCCTAAGATAATGAATTCAAATAATATTACTGACAGCCTTTGAAATGAAAGTCACACTCCCTAAAAATACAGAAATGTACCTATTTCACCTGCCAGTCACCTTCAATATTCTGGGGAAGGAATATTATCTCATTTCTTTTCAATGGTTTTTTATCTTAACAGAGTACTATGTGATATTTGAATGCTGATATTTTGTCTTAACTAAGGCAGTCACAAGAATAAAAACCATTGGCCTCTGGCCTTTCAGAGATGTTCCCATTAAAAGTAATAAAATAAAATAAAATAAAATAGGGAAATCAAAAAGTCTGTTTACAATTAAAAAAAGAAAAAAGAAAGAGATATTCCCATTAAGTTCATATATACTCAATGAAAAATAGCAAATAAATCAGTAAATATTAGCATTTAAAATACTTTGTTTATTTATTTACCACCCACAGCTAGATAAGAGGAACTGGGTTAATTTTGAAACCCTCAGTTTCCTTTTCTCTAAGTCAATGGTTATTGCTGGTCCTAATGTGTGATCTTTCTTTGCAGGAAGTTGAAAAATTGAGAGAAAAAGACAAAACCAAATTGGCATTATTTTTAGTTTTCCTCTGATTTGGATGTAGCTAGTTTAGTTTTTCTTGTGGCAAGTGTCACAACTATTCAAAGGAGACAAATGAGGCAAAGGGGAGAAGCAGGGAATTATGCCAAAGGACATATGGCAGGGTTATTGCTACAAAGCTGAGCTGCAGGAATCCAGGCAGCATGAGAGTTTATCTGCTGTGCTCTGCTCCAACGAAGGAGGGCTCCTACTGTAATGCAAAGACTCAAGTGCTGCCTAAATTGGGTCTCGAACACCAGGGATTAGTGCACTTAGAGGAATACTTTAGACCTCTCAGCTTCAGACCCTCCTCTGACTATTAGTACGGTGATATACTTCGGTACCTAACTCTTGAGGGAAGGAGGTTGTTGCAATGGTGACTGATTTACAAACTGAGTTTAAAATAGCAAGGGAGATCTGTTTTTGCAAAATTTCTTTTATTTCAGCTTAACAAGGCAGTGCATACTAGCTGAGATCAGTAGTTGGCAAACTATGGCTTGCTGCCTCTTTCTGTACAATCTGCAAGCTAAGCATTATTTTTATATTTTTTAATAGGTTGGAAAAATTAAAAGAATATTTCATGACATTTGAAAACTCTATGAGGTTCAAATTTCAAAATTTGTGGAATTTGTTTTCTCTAAGTAACTACATAACATCCTTGAATTTTCCTGTCGACTGTAAAGCCTGAAATACTTACTGCCTGGTCCTTTTCAGATCCCTGATTTAGAAGAGCGTGAGACTGAGTGTCAGGAAGATCTGGATTGGGCCCTAGGGCTGTCATTTACTGATTTTATGCCTTTGGCCAAGATATCTAAGTTTTCTAAGCCTCAGTTTCCTTGTTTATAAAATGAGCATACAAGTAACATTTATCTTACAGAGTTAAATAAGATAATGCATTTAATATGCTTAACACAATAACTATCAGATGGTAAGGGATCCACACATTATTATTGTTATTATTTTACCATAAAGCAACTGAGATTAAATAAAATTGCAAAACTGAGGAAATTTTAAAGTTACATTAGAATAGATTGAAATGTGGGGAGGATATAGCTCAATGGTAAAGTGTGTGCTTAGCATGCACGAAGTCCGGGGTTTAGTCCCCAGTCCCTCCATTAAAATAAACAAACAAACAAACCTAACTACCTACTCCCCTAAAAAAATGAGAAAAAAAATTGTAATAGATTACAGAATAGAATTGAATAATTGTAACAGAATCTAAAATATTATATTTAGGACACATTTAAAACTTATTTTAAAAGGCATTTTGGATTAAATAACAACAAAGTCTCACTCAAAATAGAATGAACAAAATTGGTAAGCGCTGTGTTAAGATAGAAGTAAAAACAGTCTTAGACACACAAGGAGAATTGAGATTGAAAGCCACATAACTAAATAAATCAAAATCCTCACCTCTTCAGACACAACCTTGCTAAATTCTGCCCAGTTACTAGAATCAGAAAAGAAAATAGTAGAAGTCTACAAAATTCATGAATAGGTAGCTTGCTGAAGAGTATTAAAGAAAAACACTAAAGGGAAAATTTCAAGCCCTAATCTTTATATTCACACCTAAATATGGCTTAATTGGAAAATCACCATAAACTATAACTCTACTCGGAAGGTCAGGACTTAAAACTGCTGGAGGCAAGACCCGAAGGCAATGCTTTCATGCAAATTCACACTTGCACCACCACATTTTGATGCACAGAGGAGCTTTTTTTTTTTTAATAGCAGCTTCATGGGGATAAAATTCACATATTGTATAATATACCTATTTAAAGTATGCGATTCAGTGTTTGTAGTGTATTCATAGAGTTTTGCTACCATCACAAACAATTAATTTTAGAATATTTTCATCACTTCCAAAATGTACCCGAGTCCCTGGTAACAACTAAACTATTTTGTTTCTATAGATCTGCCTGTTCTGGACACTTCATGTAAATGGAACCATACAATATGTGATGTTTTGTGAATGCCTTCTTTCACTCAGAATAATGCTTTTGAGGTCCATTCACCTTGTAGCAGGTATTAGTACTTCATTCCTGTTGATTGTGAGATAATTTTTCATTGTATGGGTATATCACATTTTTTTATCCATTCATCATCAGATGGACATTTGCGGTGCCTTGAACTTTTGACTACTGTATAAAACTCTTTTTGCTCTGACAGAGGCTACTTACTGTTAACAGCATTACTTGTCCATCATCTTGACTGAACTGTCTTATAGGGCACAGGTTGCTCTTGGTGAGAGATAAGAGATCTTTTATAATATTCAGCCAGAGTCATGTGAGAGACTGCAGGAATTTGCCTGAAAAGTATGTCAGGACTATAATAGCTTCTGTTTAGGCAGTAATGCTGAAGGTCACTCAGTGTTGGTCATAAGAGCAAAACCTGGAAACAATTGACAGGAAATGGCTAAATAAATTCCTGCACAGTCACATAACAATATAATACAACAGTGGAGTCAGAAAATTAGCTAACCCTAGGAGAGTATATATTATATGCTATTCTTTTTATGAAATTCAAAGACAAACAGAATTAAACAACATATTAAGTACATACATATGTGACAGAACTGAAAAGAGGGAATGATAAATCATCTATAACCTATTCATGATAGTGGCTACTATCTTAGGGAGAAGCAGAAGGTTAGAATAGGAGACAGACACATGACTAGGTGAAACTTATTGGGAATGTTCTTGGGTTACGGGTGAGGTCAAAGGAGTTTATTGTAAAATACATAAATATATATATAAATATAAAGGAGGTCTATTGTCAACTGAAAACAATGCACAAGCTGATAGTTGAGAATTATGTGTTATTCAGTGGCATACTGAGGAGTTAAGCCTTGGAGCAGACACTCAGATAGCTTTGAGGGACTGTTCCAAAGAGGTAAAGAGAAATCAGGATATATAGAAGTTTTTGCAACAAAACCCATATAGTCAGAATATCAAAAGATTACTGTTAATTAAAGAAAACTAGACATCTGAAGTTAATGAACTTAGCACTTTTCTATATATGGGAAGATGCAAGAGTCTGAACTTAATGAAATAATTCCTTTGATATGCACCTTAACTATCTAGGGCCCGTATCCTGTTTTTCTCCATCCTGAATCTCCTCAGGGTGCACAGTTGATGGTGGCTGCAGAGGCTGATGGCTTGATGGCTGTCTGCAACATCCTTTGTGTACTGATTTGGCAGGTGACATTCCTTATCCAGACTATCCAAGGATTATTGATGAGTGTCACAAACCAAAGAATGTAATAAATGAATCAGGGTACCTGAATCCAAATAAAACAAGAGAAAGAAAAATAAATAAAAGTAATGCATGTAAATCGTAAAAATTTGGGTATACGTGTGAAATCTCCAATTTTTAAAGAAAACTTTCCCTGTTTTAGGTAGAAAAATTACAATTAACTTTGTAGTGTTATAGTTTCCCCCTCTTTCTCCTATGAACTAAAAAAAAAATTCTTTAAGTGATACTAAGAAATGTTAGCTGTGAGAGTATAGCTCAAGTGGTAGAGCGCATGCTTAGCATGCATGAGGTCCTGAGTTCAATCCCCAGTACCTCCTCTAAAAAAGTGAAATAAATAAATGAATAAAACCTAATCACCTCCCCCTTAAAAAAAAAAAGAAAAAGAAAAGAAACGTTAAGTTGGTAAAGTCTATTCCCTGTGGGAGCTGTTTAGGCCTGGCTATCCGCTAGAAGTTCCAACCACCCAGGCCTCAGTCCTACCATCAGCCAGCCATTAGCTATTAAGGCTGCAGGCGCAGTGAGGGTGTCAGGGCTGATCCTTAACAACACCGCTCGGCTTTGAGCAGGTTTGGAGAACAAGCCCCGGGGTATGCCCACCTCCCCTGGTTACGTGTCTAAGAGGAGAGGCGGTCCCTCAGCCGGAGCCCAGGTAATCGGGGGCGGGAACGAGAAGCGGCGCCCGTCGCGGCATGATGACGTCAAATACGCGCGGCGTGCTGTGAGTTCGCCGCTGCAGGTCCTCGTCTGGATCCCGGCTTTTGAGTTTAAGCAGAGGTGTGCCGTGCTGTTGGCCGGGATGTTTCAGCCTGTTGGCTCTGCCGAAGAGGAAGAGGAGCAGGCGGAGGAGGATTGTCCTGAATTGGTCCCCATTGAGGCGAAGCAAAGAGAGGAGGAGGAAAATTCTAACCCCGGCGCTAAGATCCCAGTCACAATTATCACCGGGTATTTAGGTAACTAACCATCCCGGTTAGAAAATGCAGTGAACGCTGGTGTCCTGGGATTTGGGGGCTGACGGTGCATCTTCTCCTTAAGCATCGGGGCCTTCTGACCGACAGCAAATGTCTCTGAGGTAGGGGCTGGGTCACTTGCTCCCCGTATGGGTTGCTTTTCATCTCAGGGATTAATTAATGATGCCCAGACCCCTCTGCGTTAGGGTCATATTTATGAAGTGAGATTGAAAATTAGCCTAGCTTTTTTGAAACTAATTGTGGCTTTGCAGTGTGACGCTCGAACCTGCCCATAATTGTCCATATGACCTCTAACAAGTTACCTTATATTTCTGAAGCTTACCTACCTTGCTTGAAATGGAAATAATACTATTGCGAGTACTCTTGTCTCCAACATTTATTTTTGAGGTCTGTTTGTAAAGTACGGTAGGAGAATGAGTAAGAATGAAAATTACTCTGCCTTGCAAGACTGTATTTTTCAAACTGAGGACGTTCAGGACTTCACGGGATTCATGGCTTTAAAAACGTGATAAAATTTACTGAAAGACAGTTTATGCGTTTACACTAGAAATACTTTATTGGAAAAGTTTGACTAGTATCATTTAAAAACTTTACAGTTAAATAGAAGGGCTAGAATAAATACTATATTAAAAGTGTGGGAAAAGTTAAGAAATGAAAATTAAGTGAACCAATTTGGGGAAAGTAATACCATTCCTAAATGCTACTAGAGGCAAATACAAACTTGGTGCACTCGAGAACCTTTTACATAAAAAATAGGAATTAAATTAAAGGGAGTTAAATCCCCCTCCTTTTTTTAATTTTTCTTTGTAGCCTGTTTATTTTCATTTTTACTCAGGGTTAATTTTATAAAGTAGTTTATTTATTTAGAAAGGAGTTTCCCTACTGTTATTCAGAGGCTGCTCTACTGAGAAGTTGAGTAAATTCCTTGTCCAAAATAGTATGGTTCAGACTTGCCCCTCATTCTTCCTCATTCTGCTCACTGCTAGATCAGAAGAGCTTTGAGTTAATGGTCTGAAGCTTAGGAGTGAGAACTAATGCCAGCATCTTTGTTGCTTAATCTAGGGGTTAGTTTCATTGCTTATTCTTGACCATTTTCTCTTTCTTGAAACATTGTTCCCTTGGTTTCCATTACATTTTCATCTACTTCTCTGGCTTCTTTAAAAATTTTTTCCCTCCTCTGTTCGTTCTTCATACCTAGGTGGTTTCTATTTTGATGACCCAACTCAACATGTCCAAAAACTTCATGTTACCATCCCATCAAGTCCTCCTGCTCCTGTGATCTCAAACATCTGGATTATTCTAAAAGCTTCCTAACTAGTCTTGAGTCATGCTGCCCTTTAATATATCCTCTGTATTTTAGCCTTAATGATCTTTATAAATGTCAATCTGTCACACCCTTCAGTGGTTTCTGTTTGGGTTAAAGTTCAAATTCCTTAACATGAATTACAAGTTCCTGTATGGTCTGGCTCTTGACAACCTCTTTAGCCTGTGAAACTGTGGCCTAGCTACATTGAACTACTTTTACTTCCAAAAAGGTGCCAAGTGTTTTGGCCCCAGGAATACTTTTCTTCTTACTGTTAATATTTCTAAGCTTCCTGAAGGTAGAGACGATTTGTCCTTGTCTTGTGCACTTTTCATCAAGGCTCAGAATAAAATCTGGTCCACAGCAGACTTTTGAATGACTGAGTTATGTCTTGAAGTCTTTTGCTTCATAATATGATTAATTGTTAAGCCCTGGTAATTCTACTAGAAGGTCTCTTACGTCCACCCCTTCCTTTCCATTTTCACTGCCACCGCTTAGTGCAGGACTCATGTTCAGGGCATCTGTCTCACACTTGGACCATTTTTAAGAATCTCTTCATTGCCCTGTGTCCTTAAGGTCTGTGCCTTCCATTCTGAACGTCAAACTTTAGTGTTGTTGAGCTTCCCAAAGTACTCTAAACACAAGCCTTCCATCCCTAAAAGCTGTTGTTTTTAAAAAAATTGGACCTTAAAAAGTTGAAGATGTTAATACCTTATTTCAGTAAATCCCTCCTAGTTGCATCTGAGAAATCTTGTAAGATTTCTAAATGGACTTCAGAAGAGGGTACAAGTTTACCTATAAAAGTTCTTACCAGCACTATTTATAATAGCAAAACACTGGAAACAACCCAAATGCCCACCAACAGGAAAACAGATAAATAAGTGACATATACAATTGAACTACACTACTATGTGCAGGCAGTTAGGGTTTCTTTCTTTTCTTCTCCATGAACTTTGGTATGTATGGTTCACAAGACTAGTGTTTTTCTTCTGCTTGAGCTGAATGCATTAGGTTTATATGCCACCTGCTGGATCGAGTTAGTGTAGCTTTATGAATTTTTCTTTCTTAATACTGATAATTATGTCTTTTGTTAACATTTTCTACATACATTCTCCATTATGTGTTTGTGTGTGTAATCAATATTATAGATTGCTTTAAGCATACTAAAAGTAGCCATATAGTCAGTCAGAATTTGTCTCTTTAGTGATAGATGTTGAAATAAAAGATAGATCTTTATATGTAAGGTTTTGGGAAGTAAACCATGTATTTTTGGCTAAGAAGCATTGTCATCAAGTGAAGGATTTAAATATTTTATATTTTATAAACTACATGAGAACTTCATTCCTTAGAAGCCATTACTTCAATGATTCTTTACTAAATAAAAAATTAAGATGCCCTATCTCAATTGTATTGTAAGTTTTGTAGAAGGCATATTATTTTTGTCATATGAGGTCAAAAAAAGCTGTATGATCCCACTTGGAGTATTTATAAAATTTTATGTTAACATAGAGCATTTTTAATAGTTTTCAAAGGGTACTTTAATCTTTTCCTCTAGAATCTTCTATACCTTGTTAAATAATATTTGAATATCATGCAAATTTTAAACAGCATGAAGACTGTCTTTTTGGGCCTTTAAAATTAGTCTTTGAATTTTGTTATTTAAAACATATTTTATAGGTGCTGGGAAGACAACACTTCTGAACTATATTTTGACAGAGCAACATAATAAAAGAGTAGCAGTGATTTTAAACGAATTTGGGGAAGGTAAGTAAAGTTCAGTAAGTGCCGTGCTGCGAGAGTTTATAGGACAGTTAATTCAGCTGGCAGATTGATGTTCCATATAGAAAAATGAAAATGCAAGATATTATAATGTGAATACATTGCTGTGGATAGTTTTGGAAAAATTAGATTCATTTCTGTCAAATTTTGTTTTACACAGATTTGAGATACTAAAATCAGATATTTTCTATAAAATTTAATTTTGTGTAACTTTGGAATTCATGCCAACAGAATGAAATTAGATTTTTACATAAAATAAATAACTCCAGAAGTAAAAATCTAAGCATATAAAAGAAAATCTTTCAGGAACTAGAAGGTGCTTTTGTACTGTCTTTATTGTTTAATTGCAACTCTTGAAAAATATTCGAAATGCTTCAGTTTTTATAAATTTACCTTGTTGAATGTTTATTATTCTGCAAAGCAGTTAAAACTAAAGGTTTAAAAAACATGTGGTCTTCATCCACAAGCAATTTCATTTATCTGTGAAAATACATGCATTTAACATTCCAGTTTTTTATCTTTAGTGTTGAACTGTGTTTAAAAAAAATTATACAGTAGTGTTAGACACAATTCTTTGATTACTTTTATAAATTTTTCTTCTTAAGTGTGAATTTTCATGAAAGGTCACTTTTAGCCAAAAAATGTAATTTCTGTTGGAGTATTTCCTAAAGTCTACCTTTTTTTTCATTTGCAAATTACTAAAGGAGCTAGGGTTATGAACAGGAGGGGAGGCCTGTTAGTTGAGCTTGATTTCTGGTTTCAGTAAACTAAAGAGAGTTTCAGTAAGCTAAAGAGTCCTGTTAGACAAAAAAAATCCTAAGATTTTTTTAATCATAGTCTTTTATTCTAGCTTATTATTAACTGATCTTCTATTGGACATTGATTACATTTATTGTTATTTCTAACTACTTTTTTTCATTCTTTCTGGACGATTTTTACAGTTCTGTCCTTCACAGCATTTGCAGTACTATATTATTACTAATTGTTATATTAATGTTCTCTACAGCCTGAATTCTGTAGCAACCCCTTTCAAAACTCTATCATAATCGCCTAACTGAAATATAAACAAAAAATATATGTGAGTGAAAATTTATTCAGTTTTTTTGTTTTTGGCCATTTGCTTTACCAGACATTTAAAACTCTTTTCCTGGCTTTGGTATGTTTCCTTATTGGAGGAAAAGTGAGATTTTTAAACCATTCTTATTTGATAACAAGCATCTCAGAGCCTCAGATATTCTTTATTCTTTCTCAGGTAAGCATTGCTAGGAAATATATGTGTATTTGACTAAAATTTAATTTTTCAGTGAGCACATTGATACCCTGCCCAAGCAAACTTCCTCAAAATGAACTAAGTTTTTTTTTTTTACTCATCCTGAGAATACTGAACACTTTGCTTAGTAGAAACAAAAACAGTTTAGAGGAAGAATGAAAAGAAAAAAATAGATAAGACAATTCCTTAAGAGGATGAAAAGCAGGTAAAAACCAGTATGTAAAACATTGGTCTATCTAGAGAGTCAGCCATGGATGAGAAAGAGTGCCTTTAAAATAGCTACTTTATTAGGAAATGGAAACATGCTAGTAAGAGGCCTTAAGAAGAAGTAGATATAATTCATCAGTTTTGTATTTGTCTCTTTAGAGGCTTAAATCCTCTTAAAGAAATAAAAGCTAAAATAATCTATAGTAGTATAGTTTAAAATATTGAGACAGCCTGAATTACATGAAAGAATAAGAGTTATAAAATGTATTTTCTGCATTGAAATTCACTCCATTATTGAGTATCCTCATCTTTGTTTTTGGTTGGCTAGTGGACATAATCTAAAGAGAGCTTCTCGTTGATTGTTCTAGGAAGTGCAGTGGAGAAATCCTTAGCTGTCAGCCAAGGTGGAGAACTCTACGAAGAATGGCTAGAACTTCGAAACGGTTGCCTCTGCTGTTCCGTAAAGTGAGGAGTGTGTTCACTGTGTGCTTGTTGGTTTACTGTAAATGTTGATCGGTTGTATTTCTGGCTTTGACTGTCTTGTGTAATTTAACTGAATCTACATAGTTTGCTTCACTGTATTTTCAAATGCAAGATAGACTTATTAGGATGCATTTTCTGTAAGTGTTTCTTGCTGTCTTGTTTTTCTGTCTGCTCTAATGCTTTGGTCCTTTCATTGAGGTTTTTTTTTTTTAATTGTTTTTGATGTCAGGGTTTACTTAATTAATAATCCCATATGTTAAAAATGATTATTCTGAATTTAATGTCATAGGTACTATTTCTAAGAATTTAACCTCTAAAAAGAAAAATAAATGACCATGAAAAAAGAGAAAAACCTCACATTATGTTCCACCAGTTATGGTTGTTTCCAAGGACAGTGTCTATTTAATTCCCCAATATAACAGCTCTTAGAAAAGGAGTGACACAAATATGAGTGAATTAGGAAAATTACCTGTACTGTTGATTTTGTATTTTCTATTGAATTAAGTTTCTTCTACATCATTTACTGTCTTAAGTATCTGAGTCAGATGTATTAACAAGGCTAAAACAGAACAGATTTTATTAAACAACTAAAATTAAGTATGTTCTTGCACTTTTGATATTATTAAGAAAAAAGAAAAATTAAAGCCTGCTACCCTAATTCAGGACAGAACTGAAAGTGACTTAATTGTAGTGTCCCTTTAGCTGTTTTATTAAGCTACTATATAATTCATTAATTTTGTCATTATTTTCTATATTGATTTTTTTTCTTTCATAAAGCTATAAAAATAACAGATTCTGACTTACATTAGTCAGGTAGATTAAAATTCCCTCCACTTTTAATTTTAATAGAATTAAAGTATAACTCTTTATATATTTGATTTCTTTTTACCTGTTAGTATATATGCATCCATCCCCCAGTAAATACTGAATGGACATTTTGTTAGAAGCCTGGGAGTCAGTTAAATTTTCACATGCCTAAAGATATTTTTGCCTCAAGTTGCTGAATATGTTTTAAAATGCTTGTGATGGTTACTTTAAAATATTCAGGCAGTCAACTGTACATTATGTTTTGGTATTCTCCAGGGATAATGGCCTTAGGGCTATTGAGAATTTGATGCAGAAGAAGGGAAAATTTGATTACATATTATTAGAGACCACTGGATTAGCAGATCCTGGTAAGAAATGTTATTATTAATAACCACAATGTAGTTCTTAAAAAATAAATGTAATAGAAGAATATCTAAAATGAGTATTAAAGCTTTAGATTTAAAAAAATTATTTTTTTTGTTTAAAAGAGGAAAAGTTCTGAGTTGTCATGTTTCTTTGGCAGATGAATGATGATCCAAGTACTTGGTACTTTTAGCATGCTAATAGAATTTGAAATTCTATTGATTGATTTATGGTGATTGATATGAACAAAAGTGGTTGAAAATATTAGGGAAATATAACAAAATTTAGGGGAAAAGGAAACATTCTATTTCTAGTATATATTTGATTGATTATACTCTACAGATATCTTATTTATGATTACTTTTTAATTCGGCTCTTTTAGAGGGTCATTTAGAAATATTTAAGGGCTTTTGGACTTTAATCCCAGAAACACTTACTTCCTTTAAATTGATTGTTAACATTTTGTTTTTCTACTACTAAACTTGAAATAATTTTATTTGTAAATGCTGTCATAAGGTACAGCATTAAATCAAGCTTACTGGGCTTTTTGTCTGGTGTGGAATTAATAATGATTATCTGTGAAGTTTTTACCTCTGAATAGAGTTACATCTAAACTTCCCTGTTGAAAGCTATACAAAGTCTGTTTCTAATAATGGGTTTCTCTTTTCCTTCTTACCCAAATAATGTTTAGATAACATTTTTATTCCTAGTTTGCAAAACATTTAGTTTTGTAAGTCTGACCCATACCAGTATTTCTTTTTTTTTGATTTGGGTCTGTGGCATTGTGCCATAAACTATGTTAAAGTACTATTTGGGAATAATTTGTTGAAAGGATTGTAATTGTTTAAAAGAAATATTGGAGTGTACTGAAGGTTCAGATGCAATCAGTTGTTACTGTATTTTGAAGTATTACATAATAACATAGTCCTTATGTTTTCAGATTAAGATTGAGTTGGGTTCTTTTGGTCCTGCAGCAGGCATGGATTTTTCATACATTTTCATACTTTTTCAGTAGGCCTGACTGATGATAGGTCTTGGACTATTACATTAGTGTTAAATATTAATTTAAGTCTGGTAAGATGTGAAAATACATTGTGTGCCTCTTTTTGAAATAGCAGATGTCAGTTTCTTTCATTGTAGCTTCTTGAGAAAAATTCTTGTAACTTTGAGAGTACATGAATTTAATAAAACACAGTTCAGCTTTTCAGAGGAAGAAAAAGTTAAATAAAATCTCAGAGAAAACTTTTGTACAAACTGTTAGGTATAAACAGGTTAATGTTTCTTTTTTCTTTAGAGCAATAATTTTTATTGTTCGGGTAAAAATGAAACATTCATTGTTAAAATAATTAATACCGAAGGAAATACAAAGAGGAAAGTTAAAGAAAAGTTGCCCTGTATCTCAGGCAGGTATATAAATACGGGCAGGTAAATTTCATTCCAGTGATTTCTCTGTGCCAGGGCTACTTGCTGTGGTCTGTGTAATGACAGTGTCAGCCTCAGCTGGGAGCTTGTGAAAAATACAGATTCTTGGGCCTCACCTCAGATATACTGAATTGGAATCTCTAAGAGTCTGTTTTAATAAGGGCCCCCAGGTGATTCTTAGATGTAAGTTTGGGAAGCCCTGCTCTATGTGCTTCTGAGAGCTGTGTAAATATGCAGAAGTAATTTTATAAAGATGGGATCACATTCTTTGTGCTATTCTTAATAATTATTAATTTAGTTTTACTTGAACCTCAAAGAAGAGAACTTGAAAGATGTGAAGGGATTGCTGAATATCAGATTAATGCTTCACTGCAAAAGATATGAGTTAAAAAAAAAAAGGAAAAGACTACAAAGAACATAAACAATTAGGGCAAGTTATTTTTTTAAACTACACATTTCAATTGTAAAAGTAGTATCTGTTGACTCTCTGGCATAAAGGATGAGGGAATTAATATACTTCCACCTTCTCCCATCTAGCTTTGGTTGATAGTATCCTTTGATATATTGTTAAGGTTTCTAACATTTACATTCTGTTATACTTTGTTTAGTTCTATCTTTAACTGTTTCAGTGCTCATTACCAGCACTCTGGCTTCTCCATTCCTGAGCTGATCTGTCTCTTGATTGACTGAATTTTTTAGTCAGATAATCTTTTGAAGCTTCCAGTGCTGTATTCCCTGAGATCTTGCATACTTCATTTCTTGCAAATACTTGTCTTTTGTCTTTTATACTTGACGGATTACTTCACTAGGTATAAAATTTCTATGTCACAACTTTTTTCCCTCAGAACCTTGAAAATGTTGCTTCATGGTCTCTTAGTATTTTTGATTGGCTGGATTTTCTTGTCTAGTATTTTCTCTTTTCATTTCATCAAGAAGGATTTGTGAGTGCTGCATTTTTTGAGTTTCAGTGCTGTTGTTTCCTTTAATGTTTGAAAATGTCTGCCTGTGGTTTTCATTCTTGAAAAACAACTTGGCAGGAGGTAATATATTTAGAGAACATTTTCATTAGAACTTTGTGGTCATTTTATTATATTGCAGCAGTGAGTGTTACTGTAGAAAAGTCTGACTTTTTTCTACCTTCTTGAAAGCGACTTGCTTTTTCATCCAAAATGCGTGAAAGATTTTTTCTTTATTTTTAAAGTTCCATAATATAACCAAGATACATCGAGGTGTCATTCATAATCATGTTTTCCTGGATTACAATCTTTAGTCTGTAGGTTTAGTTCTTCATTAGGGACATTTTCCTTTTTTATTATCATGAAGAATTTTTCTGTCAAATTATTGGGTCCTCTCCTTTATGACACCAATTTTTCTTATGTTGAATTTTCTTTGCTCTTGGTATCTGTTATCTTCTAATGTTTTGGTTTATCTTTTGCCTCTGCATTTATTGTAATCATCTCAAATCTTCCTTTTTGATGGTAATTCTGTTTGCACTAATGTTTGTTGATGTTTTAAATGAATTAATTGATTAAATAATGGTATATTGGCCCTAAGTTTATTTCTTTAGTACCACAAACTATCTTCTCATGTTATTCGGCTTTATTTTGCTTTAGAGCTTGCTTTTAATTAAGATTGTGGGTTTTTTTTCCTTATTACAGAGAAGCCCTTAGGAATATTTTTTGGTTTCTTGGATTATGTCTCCTTCCAGAACAGGTCCTTTGCCATTGGTATTATGCTCCATTCATTTGTTCAGTATTTTCTCCCCCCCCTTTTTGCTTGTTTTTATTTCTCCTAAGCTGTAGTACCTGAGCATAGTTTTTCCAGCATGTTTGTGGTTGATGTAGGAGGCTCAGAGAATTTCTACCTACTTAGATGTGGTGTTGATGAATCTTGTAAATACTCTACCCATCTTACATGAATGTGTGTGTCTCTTGAGCCTCAGTTTGAAAGCTGGGTATTGCTGGGAGCAGGGATGGGGAAGCAAAGAGAAAAGGGGTGACTGAGAGAGCCAGATGGGCAATGTGATTTTTAGGCTCTGCTCTCTTAAAATACCAAGTGTTCCCCTCCAGGATTTGCTCAAACTACTCGTGAATAGATTTCCCATTCTTTTTGCAGGGCCATCCTTGAGCTTCAGACCTCTCTTTTCAGTTTGTGCTGAGTCCTAGAAAGTGATCCCCTCCCCCTGAAAATGTGGAGATAGTTAGATAATTTCACCCTTGAAGTTTTCTTGTTGACTTTTCCCTGTATTGCTTATTTCTCCCTCAGTTCTACTTCTCACCATTTGAGAGCTGTGTCAGATAAATGTTAGGATTATGTAAACTATTTCCCTATAACCTCTTGTTGGGATGGGGATAGAATTAAGAACTACATAAGTAACATAGAACTTTCTGTTTTTTATTTTTACTGTCACCCAAAATTTATAGCAGGAGGTTGTACATTTGATTGCTGCTGATAAAATTTGGCTTTCAAAATTTTATTTTGTGTATTTTTATTTTTTGTTTTATTAGGTTTTGAAGAAGGGAGATTCTATAATTTAGCTCAGGATTTCTTAACCTTGGTGCAAACGACATTTTGGGCTGGATAATTGTGTCTTGTGCAGTGTAGGATGTTTAACAGTATCCCTGGCTTCTACCTACTACATGCTAGTAGCATTTCAATTGTTGAGACTGCCGAAAATTTCTCCAAGTGTTGCCAGATATTCCCTGGGGAAAAAAATCACCCTGGGCTTAGAACCACTGACTTCATTCTCTCGTTTTTACTTCTCCTGTTAAACACCTACATCCAAATTTTAAATAATTCTTTCTTGTGTAGCCTAGTAAGTATGATACTAGAAGTACACATCAGATTAGAGTAAAAGCCCTAGTACAGTCTTACAGTTCAGCTCAATCCCAGGCAGATGTTTACTATAGGACTTACAAACTATCTGAATAGAAATAAATGAATTTAAAAAATGAGATATGTCCAATGTTAGGAATTTTACTGAGTGAAAAAGGTTAATACTTTTAAAAAATGACCTATTTTTTTTGACTAATCATATTCATAACAGACTTACTTTTTCTCCTTCATTAATTAAAATCATGTTGTTAGCCAGGTAGGTGAAGAAAATTCTTATTGGCAATTCAGTTGTTTCCTGTTTAGGAGACTGACATTCTCTGGTTCTAAGCTAAATAATTGTCATGGTAAAGTAATTTCCTTGAAAAGGACAGGCATTGATTCAGCCCCTGTTACTCACAAATCCTATTTCAGTCAAATTGGAAAACTATTAAGTTTTTGGGAAAAAATCAATAAGTATCAGGAAGCCATTAGATCTTGTGGCCCTTGCTATATCCTGCATGAGTAATCACTGTAAACAGCTGACAGGTATTTCATTGTTGACACAGAGTGATGCTTGGGGGACCACATCTCGTCAGGGTAGGTAGACAGTTTTAGACATTGGAATGAGTTCAGTTATCCTTGTTTTTAACCTAGTACTCATTCTTTTAGACAGCTCTGTCACTAACTGGACCTGTGATGCTTTGAAAAAATCAAATTCTTTCTTTGCTGTCAGTTTTCTTTTTCTAGTGTTGTGGCATACTAATCAGGATGTGTGGTTTGATAGTAAACCAGTTTCTGTCAAAAGCAAGTTTTAATTTTTTATTTATTATTTCTCTCGACTAAAATTTTTTCCAGATTTTATATCAGTACTAGTAAATAGTGTAAGAATTTATTAATAAGGCCATGGGGTGTATAATTTTACTTTTTGTTCTTTTTCTTCTGTAAAACTTAGAAGTAAACTTAAATTTTTTGGCCAAGTGATTTTGGATTTATCTATGTTTTGTTTTGATGATTATTTGTGACCTGTATGATTATTCAAGGGAGAGAAGATAAAAATAAAACCTATGTGCACACAGCCATTCTGCCCAAATTTTTTGATAAAATTTATTGGTAAATTATGGCATTGGAGAAAGTTTGATGTTGGGTTTGTATATAATTAAAGTTGTTGGGTTTTTTTTTTTTTTGAAAGTAAGAGGGGAAGAAATGGTATAAGTAGTAAATGGTTCTATGACTGTAATTTCCTTAAGAAGGTTGAAAATCCATTTTTAATTCATATATGTGTTTGCCTATTCCATTGGGGCAAATCAAAACATTATAAATAGAATTGTGCTTCTTAGTTTGAAGAAATGTTTTTACTTGCTGAATATTATCATATATATTTTCAGGTGCTGTAGCTTCTATGTTTTGGGTTGATGCTGAATTAGGGGTTGATATTTATCTTGATGGTAAGTTTAGAAATGGAATTTTTTTTATTTTCGAGTAAAGTGTTAAAGTTGTGGTTAAGATCATTTTTTGGTCACATTGTAATTTTAATTCCTTGCATTGATTTTTTTTTTAAAAACTTGTTTAGTTTTATGATAAAGTAAGTCTTTGTTCATACAGATTCTAAAGCCCCAAATAGTGGTAGAACTAGATTGTCAGTCTTACTCTCAACTCCCAATTTAGTGCTCCCAGTAAAGTTTTCCTTTTAAAATACTATGTAGATTTCCTATATTCTCTGTTGTTTAATTTATGTACTTAAGTGTATGTTAGAGCTTTTTATTCTAAGTAACATATATAGCATGAAGTTCATATTTCTGCTTTTATTTTCCCTTGAAGATAAGAATTAAGCAAAGTCCCCCACCCTTTAGTTTCTTTACCTTAACACTTTGGGGAAATTTTATTCATAGACTTCATTTAAGACATATTAGAAACTTTCTGAATTAGGCAAATATGTCCCCTGCAACACTCTCCTCCCCCCGCCCCCCAATTCTTCACCTTTCTTTAAACCCTGTCTTTCATAGACTAAGGAGTGAAATTTAAGAATTACTGAAGGTAGGCCTCATCATTTGACCCTAATATATATGATATGTAGCTGGTTGACTTCCTGAGGCATCACTAAACACATTCTGCTGTTATCCTTTGAAAAAACTATTTAGCATTTAAATTCAGACATTGCCAAACTAAATTGATCATTTGGAAACTTAGGTACATATTATGTAAAACAGTTGTGTGAGGTAGATTTGATTAGAGATATTAGGAATAAGATATTCTAAGATGCCTCAGATTTGTTAAGTAATAATTTGAGAAATGTTTCAATTTTGATTATGTGAAAATAAATTAGAGATAAGCTGTCTTGTGTAATTGATCATGCTCTACTTTATATTATGTAATTTATCTCTCATATTTTGAATTGTAAGCTTTTTAAGGGCCAGAGAAATCTTTTCTTTTTTATTTGTTTATTTAATTTGAAAAATTTGTTTATATTATATCCTGTCTAGTGCCTTGAAATAGCACTAGGCAGTAAGTACATATTTGAAATGCATCTACTTATTAATGGAATTGAATTAAATTGCAGTGTTGGCAAGAGAAAAAACAGTCTTTTATAGAGTGACATTTGTGAACTGACATAGATTAGTTTTGATTTTCATTCTCAAGTATAAAGATGATGAAAAGATTAATTCCTTTTTAGGTATCATAACTGTTGTGGATTCAAAATATGGACTAAAGGTAAGTTGAAAGATTGCTGTGAGTTTTAAGTATTTGTTCAGAGCTGGGTATATGGAGATTGATTATATTATTTTTTCTACATTTGTGTCTATTTGAAATATTCCTTATTTAAAAAACAGTTTTTTTTAAAGTATCCTGAACAATCAATGAAATTTGTGTGTCTTTTAATTATTATTTTGTGTTTTAAGTTAAAAATTTATTTCTGCTACTCTTGTTTAATGCAATAATAATTGGAAGTGTAGTATTTTGTAATAAGAGTAATACAGGGTAAATTTTGGGTATGTGTAACCCTTCATAAGGATTCAGCCCTAATATCAATAAGTTTTTCTGTTTGATTGATGAAATTGAGCTTGATAAAGCATATGAGAGTTAATTTTTCTTTTAAAACTGCTGTAAGACACAAGCTAGAGATAATTGAGTTTAAAAAAATACTCCTTTATCTTATTTTGAAGAAATCAGGATTTATATATAGATTTAGGAAAGAGAGACTCTCCTTTAAAAGACATCTTGCTGTGACTATTTTTGTAACTATCAATGTCCTCAAATGCATTTAAATGAACTTCAATTTATAAAATGTACTTAGTAAGATTTTTAAAAGCATCTTGCTACATAAAGTAATACAATTAGGATGGCAGGCTTGTCAAATGGTTACTAATACCCCTTCTTTGGCCCTTCAGTTCCCTCACGGATAGACCACCCTAATTTAAGTTTTGGAGATAATTCCTTTTTAGATTTTGAAGTCCACATTTGTTAATAGTGTCTTAAGAATCAAAGGAAGACCCCAAATATTACTGTCTTACTGAGAAGCTGAAATCATGATATTTCTAGCAAAATACTTACAGGGAAAGCAAAAAAAAAAAAAAAAAAAAGTCGAATTCTTTATTCTGAGTGTTTTTTATAGGGTATGTTTGAATCCATCTTCTATATAAATTTATTACCAAATTTGGGGTATCTACAGGATAGATAGGATATTTTGTGGTTTTGATAAACTTAAAGTGCCATACAGCAAATCAAACTATGTATTTATGATTATGGGAATAAATTTATATGTAAATTTATATTTGTGGAGAGGAATTAAATAGAATCTATTGTCAATGTGGTAGAGCACCCCCCCACACAAAAAAAAACCAAAGCAACATTCTGAATAATGCAAACACAGTAAGCGTTTAACCCCCTGCCACCTTGATGAAACCTCTTAAATTATTAAATCAATATACCTACACAAAACTGACATTACTGTCAGGATAATGGAAACTTTAGATTTTCTAAGTCAGGTGCCAGATAAATAACTTTTCCTTTATACAAAGAATTTGCCAACTTGTCCAATTCCTCTGGTTGCAAAGCTTGACCTCAGTAGCTGCTTGTGATTCAGAGAATTCTGAGACAGTACAAGTAATGACACTTGGATAATGGGCAGCAATTTAAGGGTGTCATGCTTCACAGAGCCAGCCCATCACAAGTAAAGCTGAGAAATGGTACCCTGTGGCCAGCCAGCCAAATTGAAACTGAAGTGGTAATTGATATCATGGGCTATCACTCTAATGGGATTGTCACCCATTGATCTGAAATATTCATTTTTTAATCATGGGCAAGGAATTGGACAACTTCAAATGACAGATCTCTATTCTCAGGACTTGACACCCAGGCTACTGATATTGTTCTTTTCAGTTCTACAAATGTGACAGCGTTTAATGCAATAGAATCAATGAATGAAGTTACACAGAAAAGGTCAAGTCAGAGGTTTCTTTTTGGTTCTTCTGTTATATTGCACAAGCTGTTGAAACAATTCAGTCAGAAAACAGTTTGCCTTGGAAAGACCAGAAAAATAAATAGACTGACATTATGCAATAATCTTTTTTTTAAAGCTAAAATAGCATTAGATCTATAACCAATCCATTGGAAAGAAATTGCTGCTGCTTTTTTTTTTTTATATGTCATCTGACAACTCTCGCACTAGGTTTATTTCCACTTTGGTCAACAGCAGTGTGTTTTCTTTCTTTCGATCCAGCTTGTTTCTATTTCTGTAGAAAAGAACAGCTTATAAATAGCTCTTACTGGTGTTATTTCAAAAGATCTTTTTTTCTTATGGTATGCTGAGTTAGAGGGTTGAATCTTAACCTCTTTGATATGTTGGATTATTTAGTACCAAAATTTTTTTTGCCTTTTTTGACATATAAGTAAAAGCCACAGGGTCTAAGCAGAGATGTGAAATCTGTTGGGGATACACACAAGCACACACATAAATATAAAATATTTTGAAAAAAATTTTGCAAAAATGTTTTGTTCCTTGCTTGTAAAAGTAGAATAGAATGTCATAATTTCCATTTTTTAACTTTGTAAATGGAAGTCATCTGACTTAATGACCAATAATGTATAATTTGTTATTGGAGAATGACCTTTTGAAGAGCAAACATTGGTTTTAGTCTTTTTGCAGAATGTGACTTGGGAAGGTAAGAAGTTGCATGAGGGAAATGTTGGGCTGATATCCAGAGAAAATAAATGTTAGCACATACTATTTCTTTTTGTTTGTATAGCCTTCATGTGTGCAAAGAACAGAGGCATTTAGTTCTTTTGCTTTTTTATGGGATTATTACATATATTCTTAATAGAGTTGTACCTGTTGGCAGGTTTTTATTTGGGGAGATTTTAACAGATTTTTATATTCAAATATAGTAGAAGGAGTATTAGTACTTCTTGGCTGCCTGGAGGTAATAAAACGTTAGTTCATCCCCGTTAGCTCTGAGTGAAGATTTCTAATCTTCTGAAGAAATGCTTTAAAAACACGAGTTACTTTGTGAAACTGCTATTTTATTAGTTACGTTTGGGTATGGAAATTCAAAAACAGATTTCTGATTTTCTTGCCATATCTTTTTTATATTTCTCCAGCTCATAGCCATAAAGCCCCAAATTGATGTATAAATAAATCTTCCAAAATGTCAAAAATAGAATATTTTGAAAATATTTCCAATTTTTAAAAGAACTTCAGTATTATAAAATCATCCAGAGACAGATGCCTTGCTAAAAATACATCTCTATTAAACAGATTTACTATGGAATAGAAGGGGATTTGTTGCTGCATATTATGTAAAATTTTTCAAATAACAGCATCCATGTATCTATGTCAACAAACAGGGCATGTTAACTAGAATTCAACAAATATTTGTTGATCCTGGATGCCAGGTACTATTGCTGGGATGGTAATAGCTCTTATTCCCTAGAGGACCTAATAATAGGATTTGTTATAGCCTGAGGCCAACAATTATTAGCAAACATAATAAACTCGGTCTTTTGACAAAAAACAGGTTTTGATACAGTATTCTTCACGTTCTGTGACTTCTGTAATTTCATAGTGGGTCTGCAGTTGAATTTACAGGATTGTACCTAAAGTGGAAAGCAGCACATCATTGCTGTAGTTTTAGCTTAGGCTAGTTTCCCAAAAAATATAATTTGTTGCACTTTTAGAAGAAGAAAAGTTTTTCTCTGTAGATTTTACCAAGACTATTAAATAAAATTATAACTTACTCTTAGGTTCCAAGCTATCCAAATACCTTAATGATCTACCTTCCCATAAATTGTGAAACTGGATTGAAGAAGTAATTTTGAATTTAATTTTTAGGTAATCTTTATGCATATAGTCTTATGCAGTTACTAACATTTGTGTAACAGTGTCTGTGAGACTGACTTTATATGACATAAAAAGCTTTCACAAAGATTTAAAAATTATGTTTACTTCTACTGAGCACATTTTCAGTTTTTGAAAAATAACCCTATAATAAGATATTCTGTGATGGCGACAGTGTTAGATTTAGTTTCTTCTTTTATAAAATGAGAATAACCATATCCTATAATTGTTATGAAGGCTAAATGAGATAATATATGTAAAAGGATTTAATAACTTGTGGAGTTTGATTTAAATACTGGAAGTATTAATTAACTGAATTGCCTCTAACCTCAGTAGGCAGCTCTTTGTTGTGACAGGGAGCATCTATTGAGGGTAAGGTAATGACGGTGAAACAGTTTTCAGAGAAGAACCTTATGGCATTGATGACTTTAGGGATATAGCTAGGATTATGGAAAAATAATAAATGCTTCCACAGAGATCAAAATTACCTCTTAGGCTTCTAAGTCAAAGTATTTTTTTGGAGCTAGCTTGACTCTGGCAAGGTCAGCACTGAGAGGCCAAATCATTCAAGTGTAGGTTTCAAAATTAAAAACCTACTTTTAGGCTAGATATGGGGCTGTGTCCTTCCCACAGCTAATATGTTTCTAGGGAATTAAAAGGGCTCAGTACTGAGTTCATACTGTATGTGATTTTGGGATGGGGAGTGCAGTGTAAGGACAGGAATGGGGGGAAGTCTATTAGCTTTTAAGAAAGTATAATTTCAGTGGTTATCTCTTTTTTTTAAAGTAATAATGAATACTAGAATACAGACAGTTTTGTAAAAAGGAAAATGCCTAAAGTCTGAACTATAATGTTCTATGTTTTTATGACATTATTTAAATCTGGAAGGTTTTCCTTTTAAGAAAAAGAGGTGGTCAGCCCTCGTGCCCCACTCTCTCCTCAAAAACCCCCACAGGTTCACTGTAGAGAAAAAACTACCAATGAGGAAGATAGCACTTTCAGACAGAAACGTTAGTTCTGAATTTGTGTACTTAGTAATAGAACTTGTTGAAGTTTTTATTAGAGGCAAGAAAGGAGTCTCTAAAGTAAAATCCTGTTGACATTAGGTTTTGTGTTACATCACAGTAATTTTTTTTTTTCAAACTTTGCTTTTGTTTAGCATTTAGCAGAAGAAAAACCTGATGGACTTATCAATGAAGCTTCTAGGTATTCATTTATTTAAAGTGTATACTGATTACTGGCTAATTGGAAAAAGAAAATTATTAATATGAAAACCAAAGCAAACTGAGAAATATAAAAACAGTCAAAGGAAATTTTTTTTTCTGAATTTGAATTGGTAACTATTTGTAACGGTCTGATAACTAAAATTTTATTTAAAACTATATTATAGCACAGGTGAGTGCTGGGCACAGGCATTTCTTGTGGGGAACTTGGAAAATGTTAACATTTAAAAAATATTTTATTGTTCTCATACTTTCTTTGGGACTGAAGATGATTATTAAAAAAGTTGGCTCACTTCCTGCCTTCTTTAACAATAATTCATTTGATTCAAAGGATCACTGTTATTCAATACAACAGATAAACAAATTTGTTGCAATTTGGCATTTAGAACATTTTTTGTTTAAATACCTTTTTGTTCTTAATTGTTCTTTGGGCTTTGGAATATTTAAATTAGTTTGGCTACCTTAAGCATATTCTTGCTAATGGGTAAAAGGTTTTGAGATAGTCACTAAACATGCTGCTGGGTTTAAAAGGGAGTCCCACACCCAAGATTTGCTCCTGATGATCCTGACATAAGTAATAGACTGCAGACATAGTTGATTTCCTGTCATTTTTGGAGTGTGGGACTCAGTTGTTTTGTAATCCTGCCTAAACAATGCGTTTGGCATATAGCTCTGCTTCACACTAGACTGAACCTAAATATTTTTGTAACTTTTTTCCTTATTAAAATGTGTTTATTGTAGAAAATGTAAATCAGCCAAATAGAAAATAGCAAAAGTTATAAAAGCCCAAATAACGTTAAATATAGAATGCCCCCAATTTAAAGATTGTAACCATTTATATTTTGAGATTCAATCATACTGTTGAAATCTGCTTTTCAATTAATTAACATTAACTTATTTTTGAGAATTTGGTTGTGTTCTTTGAAATAATCATCTGTACCTTCAGGTAACATAACACTAGGATTAGGAACAAATTACCTAGTGATTAAACTTTCCTGGGGAATTGAGGACAATTTAAAGAATCCACAGCTTTACTACTCCTGTTAATAGAAAATAGAATGTCCAATTATAGTAAGGTGTTTTGTTATGCAGCATCCTGCCAACTGGATTCTTTAAATTGAATTTCTGTAGTGTATCTATTTTACAGAGAAAATGTATATTCGGTGAAGAAAAAGATTGTTCAAGATCTTGCTATATCTTCTGAAGTGTAGTTAAAAAAAACTGTTTAGTATAATATTAATGTTAAGTGAACTTGTTCTCTGTATTTCTTTGAAAATTATGGTGACTATTACATGGAATATTATAGTAAGTAGAATATCCTTGTTCCTATCATATTGGATGTCTGGATTTTATACATTTATTTACAAAGAAAATAATGAGTTAAAAATCATCTTAATTGTAAAATATCTTTGACTATAAATTTTTTGAGGCTTATCTTTGTAGTTTCAAAATAGCAAGTAAGAGCACTTAGTAAATGTTTTTGAATGAATATTGTGAAATCTGAACTTACATAGTGATGAAAACAATTCATCCTTTACTATTTGAAGGATGAGAAGTAGATTAGGAGTAAATTGGATCATTATATAGAGGACTGTATACTTCTTAACTGCTAATTGATCTGAAGGAGATGTTTCTATTTGTTTTAAATTTCTTAACATTTCTTTTTTGACATCTGTTCTTTGCTAATTTAGGCAAGTTGCTTTGGCGGATATCATCATCATCAATAAAACAGACTTGGTTACAGAAGAGGATTTAAACAAATTAAGAACAACTATTAGGTACAAAATTAGAAATGTGTGTTAAGTTCATACAAATTCAAAATGTATTATATAAAATATTTTTATCATGACTACCTTGTAGAAACTTTAAGTTCAATGTTGACTTGCTTCAAGTGTCATTAAGAAATCACATATATTGTTGTTACCTAATTATTATATAAATAGTAATATATAAAATTATTCCCCACTGCTTTCGGAATATACAGTTGACCCTTGAACAACACAAGGTTTGAACTGCCCAGGTCCACTTATACGTGTATTTTTTTCCCATTAAGCATAGTATCTGTATTTTCATTTTACAGATCTTTAAATTAAGTATGGGGAAAAGTTTGTGTTCGATTAGAGATCACAATATGTGGAATAAAATGAATTAGGTTGTGAGTCCTGATTCTATCCAGACTCTTTCAGCTTCCTGTCCTTGGGTGAGTCATTTATCAATTCCTTTGTTTTTTGAGGCAGAGATAGCAGTATGAGGATTTTCGACTGCAGTGGGTGTTGGTGGCCCTGAGTTGTTCAAGGGTCAACTATAGTTCAAAGTTCATGGACTGATATTCAGGGTCTTCTGACTCCATCTTCCTTTTCCTGTCTTCTCTTTGGCTGTTCCCCTACATGAAGTTCCCAATTTTACCTGAAACAATTTACTTAATTTCCCATGGATGTATCTTCCCTTAAATGTGTTCTCACTTTTAATCTGTCAATCCTTGAATTCCTTCATTGTCTGTATTTTTCTTCCTTCCTTTCTTTCTTTTTTTTTTGTTAAAAAGGTATTTTATCCATTCTCTAGAACTCATGCCTTCGCCCTCCCCCCACATCTTTTTCCCTCCCTCCTGTGAAGTCTTCCCTAACTCAAGTGGTTTGTTTCACTTTTCTCTGAACCCTCATTGACTCTGGGTCTTCCTTAACTATCAGTTCACCATGCTTGTCTTCTAGCTAACTTTAATGTCTTGAATCAGTATCTGTGAATGGTACTCAGTTATGTGTTAAAAGATTCAACAATCATTTGGACTTTTCAAATGAGGTTAAAGTTCAGGGACTTTTAATTATCTTGTAGGACCTAAACTTATAAATACTGTCTACAAAGGACTATTTGATAGCTTATATTATTGGTCATCTTCAATGGGTACAATCTGCTGACATCAGATTTTGAGTCGATCAGTATCAGTTCATATATATTATAGACTGAATCAGTAAAGGTAAGGCTGATTAGGATTTTGGCTGCAATGATTAATAATTGCAGAGGAAAGAATTCATGTTTTTCTGCATATTTAATATTATTTTAATAGTAATATCCTCTCAGACTTTACTATGAAAAACTGTAAAAATATCTCCATGTAGAAGATAAGGTAGTATTGCACAGTGTTGTGTGATGCTTAAGATCATGGACTTTGAAATCTGCGTTTGGTATGAGTATCATATGAGATGGTGTTGGTAAACTTCGTACAGTCCCTGACACATAGTAAGTGCTCTGTTAGCTATTATTGTTATTATTAGATTGTAGATTTATTCTTAGTTTATGTAGTAATTTCAGGTTACATTGAATAAAAAAATGAAAGAAATAGAATATGGTTGATATTTTTGAGAAGTCTAGACAGATAAAAGTGGTAGATGGAGATTACTTCATTTACCTCTCTTGACACTGGTCTCCTAAATTTTGTTTCTCTTCAAAATCCTCCGCATCATTGTGATTACTAGAAATGAGAATGTAATCTATGTCACAAGCATTTTTGGCATAAAAGGAGAAATTGTAACTACTGGGCTTTTCTATCCTCATATTGACTATATAAGCTGAATCTCTAACATGATCAGTATTGACACAGCCAGTTCGCGGCCAGCCAGTATTGTACAGCAATACCAGGAAAGAATTTGACAAAGCACTTTGATAAATTACAGACCCTTTTGGCTTTTTACCCTCCATTGTACATCAAACTTGAGACTGACTCAGAATTAGATTTGGGGAGTTGGAAGAAGGTAAACACATGAGAAGAAATAGCCATCAGATTATAGAGTATATTCAAAAGAGAAGATTAATAGTTTTGTGAATTATTAGAGAGACTTGCCTCAGAATCATTGTTTACTACTTACCCATGAGAAAAAACTTGAACAAATAGCAGATATCTTCAGCAAGTAACCCTAAAGTCAATGGAAATGATTATGTAAATTGATGAGATGTACAGTATATTAAAAAGGATTTAACAAGTATTTTTGGCTCCATACAAAGGGAGCCATATTTCATTACCATAGTATCAGGAAGGGGAGGACCAGTAGAGTAGGTAGAGATCCTAACTAGGGAACTGAAGCAGTTATTCTATCAAAAAACAAAAGAACAAACAAACAAAAACCCCACAAATACTGGATATGTGACTGAATACTGAGGACAATCTGGAGTCAAAGCCACTCGTAACTAAGTTTTTATTTCTAGTATGTGTATAGCCATTTCCACAATGTATGTGGAGGAAGATCAGGTGTCAGTTAAAATTTTGATTTATCTACTCATTTAAAGAACAATAGAATTATTGGCTATTTATTAATCATTTTTTCTAAAGTGGAGGATCTTTTTATAAATCACAAAGTAGCCCCTAGTCTGTAAGTTGTGCAGTAGATTTTTGCATATCATGTTTTAATGCGTAAGTGGAACATACCTGATTTATAATTAGAAGGAAAAGACTAATTAAACTATAAAGAAATATAAATTTGCTTTTCTGTTGTTTTCCTCTAGCTCTAGATGTGTTAGTATATACCTGCTTCATGTTTTAGAAATAATGTGATGGCATGCTTTTTAAAAAAGTTAACATTTACTTTTTTACTTTCTTCATTTTTATATTTATTTCAGATCAATAAATGGACTGGGAAAAATTTTAGAAACACAAAGATCAAGGTACTTTTCAAAGCCATGGCTAATATTAACAATATATAACTTTAGTTAATAATAAATAGTAAGTAATTGATAAGTATGTTTGATTATAATATAGGGTGTGCATTTTAAAAAATGAGGCCAAAAATGTTTCGAATGCCCTTTGTAAATTACTTTGGCATATTTAGTTAATATATTTGCTTCTCCTTCTTGTAACTCAGACTACAGAGCCATGATTATTCTATATACCTGTGCTTTTGCTTTAATGAGGAAGAAGACATAGGACTTTGAACCACTCAAGGAAGTAACTAGTATAGAAATCTGAAAAGGTATACTAATAGGAATCTTATCTTATTGTAAGGTATGTAAATGGCTTTTTAATATTTTAAAAATATTCTTAGTGTTTCATAGTTACAAAAATAAACTGTCTTATAAAAATACATGGAACCTTTAGCTTGAAGTTCCTGATGCATTCGTTTTAAAATTTTGATTTTGATTTCCTGTAGGTTCTTATCTTTTTAAAATTCTGTTCATACAGATACACATTACTTTACAAACTAGAGATGTTCTTAAAACCTCTGTAAAATGGATTTCTGTAGATTGAACTCTGTTTTGCATAGAGTGCTATCACTATTTCAGAAAATTTCTGTACAGGGGCATTCTGTTAAGCTCATTTTTTAGCGAGAATGGCTCAGCAGCTGTGGACCCAGCAACTTGCAGCCAGCAGCTCTGAGGCTCACAGCTGGCAGTCCAGTGCCACCCAGTTCTTAATTCAGAGATTCTTTCCTTGGAAGTCCTGCAGAGGCCTTAGCTGAGTGGCTTGTCTGCTGTGGTAGAGATTAGAGGTGCTGACAGACTTCCCTAAGTGTTAGGCAGTAACAGCAGCAGCTGCTTATATGCATGTGAGCAGCTGGGGAATTAATTTGGTATGCATTCTCAGAAGCCACTCATCTGCTGGCGAGGTAGCAGAAGAATGCCCTTAGTGTTAAGTCCTCTACAAGCATACACCACATGTGCTCCCTGTATTTCAAATTCCAAAGTAGAAAATCTCTGATAACCTAACTCATACCATGAGCCTTTCCTCAGTATGTGTCTTCCTCCTGTTGCGTTTTACCATTTTCTTTCTCTTTAAAATTTCTCCTCTTTAGAAAAAGGCACACAAACAACCACATAATGCTTAAATAATGTTTTTAAAAATCAGGTCCATAAATAGCTGTGGTTATGTTGTAGTAGCATTTATTTGGTTTGTATTTACGAACATTGTAAATCAAAATTTTAAAGGCTCCAGGATTTATCTTGCTTAATTTTTCTTTTTGTTGATTATCATTTTGGACCTTTATGTCCTGCATAAAGGTTTCATCTTGAATAGTTTATTTGGTAACAGTTCTGATGTTTATATAACATTTCTAACATTTAGTCTATTAATTACAGAAAAACATGCAGTGATTAAATTTTGTTACTTCAAATGGGTGAATAAACAAGTGAATAATATCTCCTTTTTTATTCTGTTTCTTCAGTGTCTGGTGTTTTCCAGTGCATTTCTGAAATAGTACTTAAAAATTTTTTTTAATACCTTAAGCATTTTATGGATGGCAGCATTTACAGTACTAAAACTGACAATCATAAAACAGCAATAAACATATACAGAAAAGGCTTACCTTGAATATTTATGGAATGAGAATGATGTATTGTCTTATTGGTTAGACTTAAGTTGATTTGGAGGCAAAAGGAAGTTCTAATGGACTTCAGAAGTAGGAGTGGAAGATTAGAAGTGCCATTCTTATCCTTTCCAGACTTCTTTTTTAATCTTGGAGATTTAGGTGGACTGAACAGAGGAAATCCAAAGTCCAGTTGATCAATAATAAGTTAATCAATTCGCAGTTTATTGAGCATTCCACTCGTTGCTAGGCATTTCATGGCATGTTGAGGATTTAAGCAATGTATTACATAAAAATGCTGCCTTTACAGAGGTTAGTCATTTGGAAGAGACGAGAAAACAGCAAAAGTAATTTATTAAATAGTATTAATATAATAGGGATATTAAATTCACAGGATCCTATAAGAACAGAAAGATAGAGGAACAACTCTTCAACTCTTCTTGGTGAGGAGTCAGAAAATTTTGACTGCGAAGTTGATCATTGACCTGAGTCTTAAAGAATGAATAGGAGTTTTCCAGATGGACAAGAGTAGCAGTGGCTTTCCAGGCATAAGGAAGATTTTGTATTCCAGAAACCTGTGAATATTTTAGAATGGCTAGAACGCATTGCATTATGTTGTGGAGAGAAAAAGAGGAATGACTGTAGAGATGGAGAACTTTCCACAGAGAGTCTGGAGTGCCATGACACATACTTTGGATTTTCATCTGTAGGCAGCAAGGAATTAATGAAGGATTTTACAAACAGTATGATTCTTGGGAGATGGATTGAGTATGGTGTTATTCTCCAAGCTAGGAAATACAGGAAGAAAGAGCAATTTGGGGTAGGCTGGTGATAGCAGTGGGTTTGGTAAAGGGGATTAGTTCAGTTTTGTAAACATTGAGTTTGAGATGCCACTGGGGAAGGCATTTGGAAATTTAGCTCTGGAGTTCAAGACTTAGTTTTGGATGGTATCAACAACTCGTAGATCTGGGTTGTCTTGAGGTCCCAGTTTCTGAGACTAACTGAACTTTGAAAACATGACTATATCCGTGGAGTAAGAGCTGAACTCCCTTCCCCTTAGACAGCCAGAGCCGTCTTCCTTTATCATTCTCCTGTCCCTGGTCTTAGGCTATTTAAAGCAGTCTTTAGACCTAGAGAAAATTGAAAGCTCTGAATAAGGAGAAGAACTAGGTACTCCTGGCACAGATAGTTCAAGAGATGAGGTGAAAAGATGAACTTTGGAACTTTTTTCTTCCCCCTCTGTTTGCTTCATTCTGCCATTCAGTGTTTACATGATAGTAATAGCCTTTTTATTTTTATTTATTGATTTATTTTATGTATTAATTTGTTTTATTAATATCTGTATTAATGTTTTGGAAAAGATCTGATGTTTTCATCTCTGAAGGTGGAAATCAAATGAAATTGGATGCCATGGAAATTAGTTTTCTAGTCATATGCCTTGAATGAATGAAGGAATTTATTTTTCATGGTGGCACTAGATTTGGGGAAAATCCGTAGCAACTTTCATCTGGAACCTTAGACTTTTCCCTCTTTTCCTCTCCATTGAGAATCTGGTGAGATACAATGAGAGACTTTGATATTTTAATATTCTCTGTAGAATTTAATCTGTACAGATCTATTGTTGATCTTGTCTATTTTGGAAATATCAAAAGAATCTGGGTATAAAGCAGAATTATTTCTAAATCTATGATGAATATTCTCAAGGACACTGTTGCAGTGAAAACTTTAGTCAATTTAGATTCTTGTGTTTCAGAACTATCTTTTGGTATTCACACAGTTGGCCTGAATTTTGTTATTCACACAGTTGGCATGTGTAAACTTTTTAAACTTTAAACTATTTCTTAAAGTAAAGATGATGAACTTGGTGGAAACCATTCATTTGTCACTTGTCAGTATAAATATTTGCTTAATTGTAATGGTGAAAAAGGAAGTATGTTTAGTGTTAAGGCTTTGGTCTCATAGGTAAATTGATATTCAAAAATTTCGTCATGGAACATTTACTTCTTTGCTTGATTATTTTCCTAATTCTGCTCATCTAGAATGTCCAGAATTTGAAATGTTGTTACAGTCTATTAACATAGAACTCTGGAGTGTTCTTCTTTTAATAAGACGGGAATTTGCCTGCCTTGTGCCAGGATAAATGTTCTTAATCTAACACAGTATTGTTGCTAAAAGTACGAATATATGCAGACTACTGAGAATGAACAAAGCGGGCCCAGCTGGTCAGACCTAAGTTAAAGGGGGTGGCTTAGCTTACGTGTTTTCATATTTAAAAAATTTTTGAATTTGACAAAGTTTTGTTTTCCTTGTGAGAAAATTTATTCAATGTTTGGCAATTTCCTGGAGTCTAATTTTGAAACTTCACTGTTGTTGTTTTCTGTAAACATTCCTTCATTGTAGCTTTGATATGGAGAAATGACTGTCTTTTACTATTTTATAGCCTGACATAAAAATTGGAACTCAGTCGCTAGTTTTTATAAATTTACTTTTATGTATTTAAACCAAACTTAAGTTTTGATATGATACTCTCTTCTAACTTCAATAACTGCTTTCCTAATAAGGCTTAATTACCAGTAAATAATTCTAAGGAATAACGTTTATTCAGAGAGAGCACTAACTGGGAAGTTTCAGTCTCTGTGCAACCCCATCTGAAGGAAATAAAATCAAATCACATCCTTTGGCTGTAGATAAGGGTCCTAGAGTGACTATTTATACATCGGTTGTTTGACTCCTCATATTCTTATGATATTACCTGTTATGTCATGAAAAGGGGGAGGTGGAATGAAAGAAATTCCAGAGACATTGTACCTATACTACTATGGTATTTCCATTTGTTCATTTTACCTCACTTCATCTTTTGAGTAATAAACTGCTGCTTTTGAAAAGTTTCAGTTCTTTAACTGATTTTTTTTTTGCTATAAAAATGTATTCGAAAAGCTCAAATTTTCAAGATTGAAAAGATAGTTGAAAGTAAAATCAAACAAAAAACTATAGTTTATTGAAGCAATAACCAAGTAACTTCCTGCGTTGGTCATATATGATTCATACAGTTTTTAAAATTTTAAGTGTAAATTCTATAAAAAAAATTTACAACAGCTTTTTTTTCCTTGCTTGTCATTTTTCTGTGTTTCCTAAAATAGTATATATGGATCAACCTTTATGTCTACATTTCTGGCAAAATAGAGATTTTTTTTCTTTATTAATTGAATATATTTCACAGAATTTCACACTGGTTTTCTTCCTTTCAGAGTTGATCTCTCAAATGTATTAGATCTTCATGCCTTTGACAGTCTCTCTGGAGTAAGGTATGTTTCCTGTATTTTGGACACTTTTATTGTAATGCACATTTCATTCCACAGTTACAGGAGTTACAGGAATGATTTACAGATTTGCACTTTTGATTTATGCTTCCTGCCATTCCTCTGGCATACAAGACCATTCCTAATTTTTATATTCTTGAAAATACTGCTAATTGGATGTTTGGAAATCACATGCATTTTCCTACAGAAATTATAATGTAAATGGTATTTAACTTTAGAGACTAATCATTAATATTTCCTTACCAACTGCTGTGTGTAATACTTTCTTTCTATGAGAAAATGCATGAAATACATAGAAAATTTTAGTTTGGGGTGTTCCCACAGATAACTGCTTTCCTCATAGTGATGGATCAGTTTCCTCCCTCCTTCCCCAGAGGGAATCCTTTTCATAAGGGAAAGAGTGAATCTTTCTTCCCTGGACATCAGTATTTTTTTTTATAATGATCCTTAACCTTTTTTTTCCTAAATGACTCTTTTTTTAAAATATTTATTTATTTATTTTTTAGTAGACTTTATTTTTTTAGATTAGTTTCAGGTTTACAGCAGAATTGAGCAGAAGAGACAAGAGTTCCCACATAGCCTTCACCACCCACATATACATACTCTCCTGCCTTCAGCATCCCTCATCAGTGTGGCATATTTGGTACAATCGATGAACCAACATGGACACATTATTATCAGCCAAAGTCCATAGTTTACAGTAGGGTTCACTTTTGATGTTGTTCATTCTATGGACCATTTTTAAGTATTCAGTTCAGTTGTGTTAAGTATATCCACATTGTTTGTAATGGCATTATCTATAGAAGCTTTTCATCTTAGAAAACTGAAACTCTGTACCTGTTATATGACAGTTCCCTGTTCTCCCCTCCCTGCAGCCCCTGATAACCACCATTCTATTATCTAAGAATTTGACTACTTCAGATACCTCAAATAAGTGAAATCGTACAGTAGGTGTCTTGTGACTGGCTTATTTCACTTAGTCCTCAAGGCATCCATTTTGTAGCATGTGACAAGATTTTCTTCCTTTTTTAAGGCTAAGTAATATTCCTGTGTGTGTGTACACATCACTTTTTATTTATTCATTTATTGATGGACATTCAGGTTACTTCTACCTCTTGGCTGTTGTGAATAATGCTGCCCTGAACATGGGTTGGATGTGCAGATACTTCTTTGAGATCTTACTTTATTTTGGATATATGCCCAGAAGTGAGATTGCTGGATCATTTGGTAGTTCTATTTTTGGTATGTTGAGGAATCACCATATTGTTTTCCATAGCAGCTGCACCATTTTACATTCCCACAAACAGTGCACAAATGTTCCATTTTTTCCACATCTTTGTCAACACTTGTTATTTTCTGTTGTTTTTGGTAGTAACTATCCCATTGAGTGTGAGGTGATAGCTCTTTGTGGTTTTGACTTGCAGCTCTCTCATGATTCCATACTGATTTTCATTTGCTTCTTGGCCAGTTGTGTATTATCTTTGGAGAAATGTCTATTCAAGTACTTTACCATTCTTTAGTTGTATTATTTGTTTGTTGTTGTTGTGGCTGAGTTATAGGTGTTCTTAAACGTTCTGGGTATTAACCCCTCATCAGATACATGATTTGTAAGTATTTTCTCTCATTTCCTCTGATGTAATGAGCCATAGAACCCTTACGTGAGAGGTATCTTCTCTATACTTGGAGGAAAGGAATGTCCTTATCTCTGAAGACAGAGGGACACACAGAGGAATCTGAAAGCACCAGCCTTGCTGAGTTTCCTCTGGTTTACTATGCTCGGCTCATACTCTGTGCTGTCATATCCTTCCAAGGCTTTCTACTCTTCATCAGTCTAGCGTAAACAGACTCAGGTTTAACCATTTCTTTAGGTCTTCACTTCCCTATGAAGGCTCCTTTGTCAAATAAAACCGTTATTAAATAAATTTCTCTTATTAATCTTTTCTTAGTCTAATTTTCAGACCCAGGCAGGGACTTAAGAGGGTAGAGGAAAACTTCTTCCCTGTGGGAGGTGTAGGTAGTCATTGTCCAACAACATTCAATGTTGAACATAGGGAAAGAACATATAATTTTTCAAACATTTTCTAAGGTGATCTCATTCCACACTTGCTGAAGAACAGCTCTAATGCATTAGTGACACTGGAAGAAGTAGCTATTGAATGTGACGCCCCTGCTAGAAATCACATAAGGCCTTTACATAACATTTCACTGTGCTTAGTTGCTTAACAAGAGAATCCTTTCCTGAGCAACCAGCTGGGAGGGATTTAATTTGACACTTTCCTACAAGGACCCCCAAGTGAGACTCATTTGCTCCAACAGTTCCTACAAGTCTTTTCTCTTTCCTACACTTGCTGTTACTAATTTACCCCTCACTGTTCTTCAAGGCAAAACATCTGCAAGGTTTTAAGTCCTTTTCTTCCTCCTGACCTACCCCCATCAGTCTCTAAAGGTATGCTGCAGTGGTTATGGTTATAATTTGTTATGCCATATTGATCTTTTTGCTCTTTTCAGATCAGTACATTGTATTTTTAAGATTCTGACTTTGTTTTCTCTCAACCACTGGTAACTGACTATATAGAAGTCTTCTATTTACGAAAACTGTTTGTATTTTCAAAGGTAGACATGTTCAAGGAGAAATACTGATAAAGGAAATATTTACCCTTCTAACTTTCTTTATGTTCCAGCATTATTTTCATATGAGGAAGCAAGGGGAGATTTGATGAAATTCTGAGCAACTGTAAAATGCTTATGTATATTTTCCTAGGCCTGTATTAGAGTTATTGGAAATAAAAAGAAATCTACTGACATATCTAACCACACCAAATAGTGTTGCTAAAAATTAGTTTTTCTCTGTATTGTGTGTATATGCATGTATGTGAATGTATGTACATTTTTAAGAAAAGTTTAAACAATCTGCCAGTGTTTCTCCACTAGACTATGTAAACAGCATGTAAAAGTGGTACTATGTAATAGATTCAGTTGTGGAAACTCTTCCTTAGTTAGCTTTGTCTCTCGAAGTAATATATAAGGTTAAGTCAGAATTGTGTTGAATTCTGAATTTCCAATCAGTTATTCTTAGTTTGCAGAAAAAACTTCAACATGTGCCAGCAACACCACCTCACCTTGATCAGGTAAAATACATCTTTAAAATGTTTTTAAGGTAACTCTTTAACTAAATTGGTTCTGTTTAGGATTGTCTTATTAGAATTGTTTTTTAAAAAGTATTTGTGAACTGCTTTGAGAGTTTTTAGAATTTAAATGCTTTTAAGGTCATCTAATCTGGTTTCTTAATGCATAATAGGGGTTCATCAAACCAGAATTATTTAGAATCTTAGAGAATCATGCCTTTTAGCGTTTCCATTCTACAGGTTAGTCAACATATTTTGATTAGTTCTTCTGGTGGGAATTACTGCATAAAAACAGCCTAGGGGTTCTATTTGCAGCCTGTTTTTTAAAACTGAAGTATAGTTGATGTACAATATTATGTAAGTTACAGGTGTACAATATAGTGATTCACAGATTTTAAAGGTTATACTTCATTTATAGTTATTATAAAATATTGGCTGTAGTCCCCATGTGTTGTACAATATGTCTTTGTAGCATATTTTATATGTAAGAGTTTGAGCCTCTTAATCCCCTATATTTTTTAACTGGAAATCTGATATAAGCATCCATGGCTTATTTAATAAAAACTGACTTTGAGTTTCAGCTTCAGATAGCACAGTAAGTTTGAACTCCTTAAAGTGTTTTGAAAACTATAATTCCTGAGGTAAACATTGAAGATGCTAGGAACAAACAAAGTATATTTTCACTGTACCCATCTTTCTTTTAAGCAAGTCATGATGGTAGAGCTTACGGGTAACTTCTTTCTTCCATTTAAACACAGAAGAAGTGGGCATGTGAGTGAGCAGTGTGTATAGCATTTTCTTCTCTATCTTGAAACTATCACTTATTTTTTGAATCATTAATTATAATAGGGCGAACATAACATGTTCATTTGTCTTCATCCTGGCTCCTATTTATGGGGGAGCTATACTACCATGTTTGTAGCATTTTTCTCTTGGAAACCTATCTTAATAGAATATTCATCTTCAGTTATCTATATTACTTATTTCATTGAAGTATAATTGACCTACAATATTATTATAGAACACAGTATTATTAGTTTTAGGTGTACAACATAGTGATTTCAATATTTTTATACGTTACAAAATGGTCACCATAAGGCTAGTTACCATCTGTCACCATAGAAAATTATTGCAATATTGTCAACTAAATTCCCTATGCTGTAGGTTACACTCCTGTGTCTTATTTATTTTACAGCTGAAAGTTTGTACCTCTTAGTCCCCTTCACCTATTTGCTCATCCCCCTGCCCCTTCCCCTTTGGCAACCACCAGTTTATTCTCTGTTACCTAAGTCTGTTTCTGTTTTGTTATGTTTGTTCATTTATTTTCCTTTTTAGATTCCACATATAGGTAAAATCATATGGTATTTTTCTTTCTATGTCTGATTTATTTTACTTAGCATAATACCTTCTAGGCCCACCATGCTGTCAGAAATGGCAAGATTTCAGTCTTTTCATGGCTGAGTAATATTCCACTGTGAAATTCCACAATGGAATTTTACTCGGCCATAAAAACATATCTTCTTTATCCATTCATCTATTGATAGACACATAGGCTTCCATATCTTGGTTATTATAAATAAATGATGCTTCATTGAACATTGAGGGGCATGTATCTTTTCAAATTAGTGTTTTCATTTTCTTTGGATAAATACCCAGAAGTGGAATTGCTGGATTGTATGATAGTTCTATTTTTAATTTTTTGAGGAACCTCCATACCGTTTTCCATAGTGGCTATACCAATTTTCATTCCCACCAACAGTGCATGAGGGTTCCCTTTTCTCCACATCTTCACCAACGCTTGTTATTCATTGTCTTTTTTGAGAATAGTCATTCTGACAGATGTGAAGTGATTATCTCACTGTGGTTTTGATTTGCATTTCCTTGATGATTAGTGATCTTTCATGTGTCTTTTGGCTATCTGCATGTCTTCCTTAGAAAAATGTCTATTCAAGTCTTCTGCCTGTTTTCAGTCAGTTTGTTTGGGTTGTTGTTGGGTTTTTGTTTTTGTTTTTGTTTTGGATGTTGAGTTGTATGACTTTTTAATGTATTTTGGATATTAATCATGTGTCAGACATATCAATTACAAATATCTTCTCCCATTCAGTAGGTTCCCTTTTTGTTTTGTTGATGGTTTCCTTTGCTGTGCAAAAGCTGTGTAGTTTGATGTAGTCTCATTTGTTTATTTTTGCTTTTGTTGCTCTTGCCTGAGGAGCCAGATCCAAAGAAATACTGATGAGACCTATGTCAAAAAGCATAGTGCCTCTGTTTTCTTCTAGGAGTTTTATAGTTTCAGTTCTTACATTTAAGTCTTTAATCCATTGGGAGTTTATTTTTGTGCATGTTGTGAGAAAATGGTCTAGTTACATTCTTTTGCATCTAGCTCTCCTGTTGTCCCAGCACTATTTATGGAAGAGACTGTCTTTTCCCTGTTGTATATTCTTGCCTCCTTTGTCATAGATTAATTTACCATATGAGTGTGGGTTTATTTCTGGGCTCTTTATTCTGTTCTCTTGATCTGTGTGTGTGTTTTTGTGCCAATACCATACTGTTTTGATTTCTACAGCTTTATAGTATAGTTTGAAATAAGGCAGTGTGATACCTCCATCTTTGTTCTTCTTTCTCAAGATTTGGCTATTTGGGTCTTTTGTGGTTCTATATAAATTTTAGGATTATTTGTTCTAGTTTTATGAAAAATGCCATAGGTGTTTTGTTAGGGATTGCATAGAATCTGTAAATTGCTTTCAGTAATATGGACATTTTAATGATATTCTTCCAATCCATGAACACAATACATCTTATTTATTGAGTGAATAAGAGAAGTACCAGTCCCTGGAGGTAGGATTTTTGAGAAAAATCAACTGTTTTTGATACTCAGTGTTAGTCATAAAGATGAACTTGAAGCACATCACATTCTTATCTTCTGGGTGATGAAGAATATGTAGTATTTGCTTTCAAGAACCTTTATAAAAGCCAGTATCTGCACCCATAATATACTGAATGTACCCCTATCATGGCATTTATAATGCCTTGTAGTTTGAGTTGAAATGCTTTTCCCTTACGGTAGTCTATGAATTCCTAAATATAAATTCCTCATTGCTTAACACTGGATGTGGTATATGGTAGGTTCTCAGTAAATATTTGTTATAAGAATGAAAAGCTATGGGGTGTACATCAGAGTCACTTGTGGCTTTTTAAAAACTATTGGACCCTCAGTGGTCCCCACCCTTCACATCTCCAGGAGTGGACCTTGGGTATGTGCAAATTAATGTGTATGTATATTTTTAACATTTAATATATACATTTTCAAAGATATACAAAAGTAGAGAGAATATTAAAGTGAATACCCTGTGCAGATGACCTAGTTGCAATGGCTTTTAATATTTTGCTGATTTTATTATATCTGTCTTCCTAACATTTCTTTTGCTAGAGCATTAGAAAAAAATTTTTAGTAGAAAATTTCAAACGTAAAATTTGTATAGTATGATGAACCTGCAAGTACCCATCAGCTATCTGAAACCAAAGGTGACATTATGTTATTCTCATCTCTAGGAACTTTTCTCCCCTTGGCACTTGTTTGGTCAGAGATAAACCGAATCTCTCATTTGTGTTTATTTTCCTAGAGAACATTATTCCTGGCTCTGGGTAGTTGATTTTTTTCTGAGCCTCATCTCCCTGAATTTATAAAATGGAAATAATTCCCTTTATTCCACAGGATTGTTGTCATGAGGAAATGAGAAGATGAGATGAAGTGACCCAGGCAAAAGTACCTTCCTCAGTACATGGTTGATACACTCTCTTTGTTACCTTCCCTTTTTAGTGCTGAGAATCCTGGAAAGAATGTATTAAAGAGGGAACCATTTCATAAGAGTTTCTCTGTGTAAATACTAACCACTGATCAACTTTACAGAAATAGAACATGGAGTTGCAGATACCAAAAATCAGCAAATATGATGAAAAGGATATACTTAGTATAGTTAAGGCAACATAAATTTCCATGAATGTTTCCTTATTTTTCATCTTAAAACTTGTAATTAAAAAATGTTGAATATTACTATAAAAATCATTATTGATTATCTCTTGATTTACAGAGTATTGTTACAGTCACATTTGAAGTACCAGGAAATGCAAAGGAAGAAAGTCTAAATGTATATATTCAGGTGAATGCAGTTTTTAACTGATTAATGATTTATCAGTTGTTTTGCCACATAGCTGTTCCTATTAGCAGTGGTTGAAATCTTATTAAAATATGTCACTTGATACAGAATCTCCTGTGGGAAAAGAATGTGAGAAACAGGGATGACGACTGCATGGAGGTCATACGACTAAAGGTGCGGTACACAGCTTACAGTTTTAAACTTTTGGACAAACTCCCTTTCTTGGCTGTTTCATAAAATCAGATGTAGTTTTAAATACAAGCACTAGTTTTAGTACAAATGACCTTTGTCTGTTTTCGTTTTTCCTTATGTCCATTGCTGGGAAAAAAGCTTTGGAAGTCATTGCATAAAGCATGATTTATTTGCACAGCTTCACTGAATGTTGCAGCTAAAACAACCTGTGTGCTTTGAAATGCTATCCCTGCTTTCTACTCCCAGGTGCTCCAAGCAGTAATCTGGCCAGTGAGATTAGCTTGTTGAAGCTCTCCTCCCCTTGGCACGCTGCTTGGTCAGTCAGAGAAAACTGAACATTTTCTCGTGTTGATTTTTCTGAGAGCGCTTCATTAACAGAGGAATAATAGGAATCTTCCTGCAACTGAACCTTACGCTTCTTGATGCATTTAGCAAACACTAAACATTTGTTATACTGTGAAACAAAGTTATAAAGGACTAGAATTCTTGCTGTGTTTGAAAACCCATTCATATTCTTGACATTTGAGTATTTATGTCACAAAAGGTGTTTTTTTCCCACGGAGCAGTGTGTTCTAGGCTGTGTGCTTAACCAGTCAGCGGTCATTTGTGTGTCTTCTCTTGTGGTTCCAGAAGTGTGCAAAAGGTTTTATTATTACTGTTTTTTATCATTATTGTTAGTAACTGGATTCTCCAGTTAGCAGCCAACTTCCTGGGTCATTAGAATGACAGTTTTTAGGTGTAAATTTCTTTACTTCCTGTGCTAGCACTACCTGGGATTGGTGCTGAAGAGCAACACAGGTAAATCCCAGTCTGTGCCCACATTATTCCCACCAGAAAGAACTAAGCCAGATCCTGCTGCTTTATGACTGTATCCTCATGTGCATTCTGCGATCTTAATTGAAAGATCATGTTTCATTCTATGACTGCTTTTGTCCCCTAGTACTGAAGTGGAGTGGTTACCTAGAATAGCAGCCATTTGGGTGTTTATACTAACACCACCAGCAGTTCTCTGTACAGAGTTCAGTGGCTCATCCTGCACTATCCCAGTTTGAATTTTGTCCTTAGATACGTGATAGGTTTTCTGCAGTTTTCCTCCTTAAATATTCTTTTGGCCTTCAGCTCATCACAGCAACACTGGGGCATCTGAGGCAACATGGTCTTTCTCTTCATAGACTTCCTTCTCTTCGCTGTTGCTAAGTATTAGTCTTATAATAATGAACATGTTTAAATTGTTAACTTTAATAACAGCTGACACTTCAAAGTTTTTTTTCATCTTTCATAAGACTTGGAAAATTTTGTTTTGTTTTTGAATATTGAAGTATAGTCAGTTTACAATGCTGTGTTAGTTTCTGGTGTACAGCATAGTGATTCAGCTATATATTCTTTTTCATTATAGGTTATACAAGCTATTAAGTATAGTTCCCTCTGCTATACAGCAGGACCTTGTTGTTTACTAAAGTCTTTATACAAATATAAAATTGATGCTTAGGTAATTCTTTCTGAGGAGTTTGTTATTTCACGTTAAAACTCAGATTTAAAAAGCAGAGGACAAAACTCGGCGTGAGAAAAGAAAACTAGAAGAATATTCACCCAAAATACGTGAATACACCAAAAAAACACAAAAATTGTGTGGTAGAAATGACAGAGATGTGTCTCTTACTATTTTTCAATATATGTATTATTTTTATAATATATATAACAAACATCATTTCAGAGAAATTATTTCATTCCAATAGGAGCTAGTTTGTCAGATAATTTGTTCCTTATTTCTGCAAATCAATATAAAACAAATTTTATTCAGGTAAATGTTTTTCTTTTCCTTTTTTCATTATTATCTACTCCATTTATTGCAACCTATTCAAAAACAAATTATCACCAAAATTATTTAACTTCTCACATTTTCCCACTAAAACTGTGAAACAAGTATAAAATCCTTAAAAGTAGAATAGTCAGTTGAATTTGATACATAACTTGTGTTATCATTTGTTGTTTTGATTTTTTTGTTGTGAAAACACTGAATAAACATCTTAATATGTGTATTAACTTTATAATTAGAAATAGTAAATCATTTAAAAAAATCCATGTGCACAGCAACCTTTGTAAAAATTAGAGGCTTTAGGAAACTCTTTAATGCACAAATAACTGAAATTAAGTAAATTTTAACAGTATCTTCTTCATGAGTTTGTATTTTAAAAAAGAATAGGAATAATGAATCCATTAACACTGATCCTCGATTTCTGCATTTAAATTCAAACTGAGGCCAATTGGTCATTCTCTGAGCAGGGGCTGGTGTCGATCAAAGACAAACCACAGCAAGTGATTGTCCAAGGTGTCCATGAGCTGTATGATCTGGAGGAGACTCCAGTGAGCTGGAAAGACGACACTGAGAGAACAAATCGATTGGTTCTTATTGGTAGGTGACAAGCAATTAAATTTCTAAAGCAAAGTAAAAGATATATTTGAAAAAGATATGATGCTCCTTAAGCAGTTGTAGCCAATCTGAACCCCTTTTGTAAATCCAGATAAGCTTCTGGTTAATGTATTTGTCTTAATTATGTGATAACATTCATAAGAATTCATTAAGCCTTTTACTCTTCTTCAAATAACTTTAGAAAAGTGATTAATCCAAATGCCAATTTGGTTCTAAGGGAAAGTTAAGGAAGGAATCTCTAATTGTTATTGTTTTTGTAAATTTCTGAAAATCATGAAGCATTTAATGATCTGGGCTTGATAGGTAAACTGTGTTATTTTAATAAGCATAATATAATCATACCATATTTTGTTTCTGTTTACAGGCAGGAATTTAGATAAAGATATCCTTCAACAACTATTTATAGCTTCTGTGGCTGAAACAGAAAAATGGTGGACAACACATTTCAAAGAAGATCAAGTTTGTCCATAGAAGCGTTATCAAAAGGATTGGATGATAAAATTGGAAATAAGTTTCCTACTAGATATATTTCCTACTAGATGTAGGTGTCTGTTCTTTGCATTACTTCTCTTATGAATTTCAGTGTACTTTAGAATAGTATTTATTTTATAGAATACATAAAATATAGCAAATCGGTATTGTAAAACATTTGACATTCACACAATAAAGTATCCTCTGAAGTTTGTGTGTGTGTGTGTGTGCACGTGTGTGTGTTTGTGTAGACAGATGATTCACCAAAATGTCTGTCAGAATTGGCTTTGGAGTTTACATAGGCTGAATTTCTCACCCATGGAAGTTATTTATAATAATGATGATGAAACTTACTTCAACATTATCATTTTCCCTTAGAACTTCAGCTGGTTGCATGGATGTAATTTTATTGTTAGTAACAAAAGGTTTTTAAAAACAAATAATGTCACCATTTTTTACTGAAGGAAGTAAAAGTTTCATTGTAAGGACAGACTTAGAAGTGGAAGAAACCTAAGTCAAAGAAATTAACTGAAACCATCTCTCAATCAAATTCTAAGCCTTACTGGTGGTAGTCAGTGTAATGGAATTTCAACCATTCACTTTGTAATCTATTTCAAAGATTTCAGTTATAGACCTTTTAATTTTAGAGTAGGTTTTACTATTGGTATTACATTCATCTTGGTATTTTTGAACTTCTTTAATTTTCAATGTAAGCTAAAAGTGACAAGATACAGAATTTCAGATGTAACTGCAGGTAATTTTTGATGATTTCAGAATCTTTATATAAATGGTGTGTAAGTATACAATGGGTTACTTTTCTCCCATTCCTACTACAGGCCAGGTCAGCATAACTATATTCAGATTGTAAGAGAAAAAAGCATTGGCTGGAATTTAAGGATGATCTTTCCCAAACTAATGGTCGTTGAATATCAGAAGGCTGTCAAAATGACTTTTGGAACATTTTTTCAGAATTTTAAATAAAAGATTTACATCTGTGTATCTTGAGTGGTTGCATTGGTTGGAGGCAGGCTAACTGATTAGATTATCTGTCTTCCTTCCCCTGCATTCTGTACCTTTTTCATATAACTTCTCCATTTATCCATTTGCCTCCTGAATCTATTCTCTTAATTCGTGGTTGAGAGAATACACTTATTTTGTGGCAGTAAATTGCTCAGTGGAAAGTCAGCTGATTTTTGAGTCAGATCTGGGCTTTAATTCCAGCTCTGCTGCTTCTTGGCTGTATAATCTTGGGCCAAACATTTTATCTGAGATTAGTTTTCTTATTTTTAAAGTGGACAGTGATAATATGAAACATTCAATGTTGTGGTGAAGGTTAAATAGATTTGTGATGCACCCAGCTCAGCTTCTGGCCCACAACAGAGCATAGATAAATGTTTTCTTCTTGCTAACAATTTAAAGTTTATAATTAATGTAGTCATGGTAACATTTCATAATGTTCATTGGCAAATAATAATTATTTAGATTCATCTGTCCTAGACCATGAGAAATGGCTTATAATTAATTGTCTTATTGTAGGAGAAATGTTTGAGGTAACATTAATCTAAACTCTTAAATGTCTGTATTTATTAAACTCATAAATATATTTTTTCTTTAAAATATATTAATCTTTAAATATCTTTCATTGCATAAGTATTGCATGAATACATTTGTGTTGTAAAAATGCCAGCATTATAGATGAAGTCAGTCTCCCCTGACCTTTCTCCTTCAGTCACTGTCACTTCTTCAGGGTAAGCAGTGTTGTCAGTTTAATGTCTATCCTTTTAGACATTTCTTTTCACTTACACACATTATGGTTTATTTTGTTTCCCAAAGTGAATTATTTTCCAATAGTAAAGCTATAGTTTAAGGTATTTCTTTAGGAAGCTTACGAACTTGCCATAAATGTCCTCAAGGAAAGGTTTTATTTTTATAATGTGTGTTTTAAATAAAACAGTATTCTTTATATATTGTAATACAACTTGCTTAAAAAAAAACTATTCAATTTTTCCATGATAGTGCATATAAATGTCTTTAACTGCTACACAGAAATTCATAGTGTAACATAGAATACATTTCTTTAAAAAAAACGTTTTTTGAGAGCTTTCAGGTTTGCCCAGTATTACTGATGGGGCTGAAACTACACATGACAGTTTAAGGCCAGGTTTTATTGCTTACATTCTAGTGGAGGGACATAGAAAAATGAGAAAAAATGAGGTACCTGAAGAAGCCTGATAAAAATCAAGACCGACTTTAGAATGAGTGGGCACTTCTCTGAGGAGGGGTGGCTTTTTTTTTCTTTTGTGCCCTGTTTCAGAACTTTTGATAAATCCCAATGTCACAAAGATTTTTCCTATGTTTTCTTTTAGGAACTTAATTTTAGCTCTTAAAATTTAGCTTCACAATCCATTTCAAGTTAAATATTCCGTCGTTACTTGTTGAAAACTCCTTTCATCTTTGAATTACATCATGCACTATTGCTGAAAAATCACTTGCTGCATGTGTGTGTGTGTGTGTGTTTGTGTGTGTGTGTTTGTTTTCATGGACATTATTTTGATTCATTGAGTTATATGGTGTCCTTACTCCACCACTACACTGTCCTGATAACTATAGCCTTAGAGTAAGTCTTGAAATTAGGTAGTGTTAATTTTCCAATCTTGATCTTCTTTTCTAGAGTTGTTTTAGCTATTCTAGATTTTTTGGTTTTCAATATAAATCTTATGATTAACTTGTCAGTTTCTTCAAAAAGCCTGCTAGGATTTTAACTGGGGTTGCAGTGAATCTATAGTACAATTTGGGGAGAGTTGTCATTTAAAAAAAAAAATTCTTATTGAGATGACATTAGTTAATAACATTATGTCTCACGTGTACAACATTCTAGTTTTACTTCTGTATACACTACAGTGTGCACCACTAAAAATTTAGTTTCCATCCTTCACCATGCAGTTGTTTACCTTCCTCCATTTTGCCCTTATCTCCTTCCTTCCCCTCTGGTAATCTCTGCTCTGTTCTCTGTGTCTACGTGTTTGTTTTTCTCTTTTATTCATTTGTTTTTATATTCCACATATGAGTGAAACCCTACATTATTTGTCTTTCGCTTACTTATTTCACTTAACGTAATACCCTTAAGGTTCACCAGGGTTGCCAGAGGTAGCTTTTAAGTTAGGAATGTAATTAAAAGGAGTCATTCATGCAAAGTAGGGGAGAAGGTTCTACACAGATGGAGTGAGTAGTAGAGAGGCCCTTTAGGTGGGAAGTAGCGTAGCGTTCCCTAGCGAAGATGAGGAACGAGGCAAGGGTGGCAGAAGCTAGGGTATGAAGTGGGATTGGAATTGTAAGCCAGGGCCAGGCTTTGTGCTCCTTATGGCACAAAGCAAAACATTTGGATTATTCTGGGAAGTGGTGTGAAGGGTTTTGAGCTGGACAAGTGATGTGGTTGTGGTCATTGTGGCAGATGAGCTAGTTTCCTGTTTTTGAAATTGTAAACAGTGCTGCAGTGAACGTCTCTGTTCTTATGTGAGAATATTTCTCTAGAAGAGATATGAAAGGGTGGAATCACTAGCTTCCAGGAGATGTGCATTTAAAATTCTTTATAGATATTGATAAAGTGCCCTCCCAAAAGGCTGTGCCTGTTTACCATAATACAGTAGCATATAAAGGTACCTGTTTTCCACACCTGGCTAACACATTTTAACCTTTGCCATTCTGGATGGAATGGCATCTCATTGTTTTAATTTAGACTTCTCATTGTATTTTTATGTTATTTATATGTCTTTTAAATATACATTGTCCTATTCTTCACTCTTATTTTTCCCCAAATGGAGTATTTTTCAGTGATCAGAGCCATTACCAATTTAACCTGCACTTCAGAGGAGCTGGGAAGCTGCTATAGATAGCCCAGAGAAGATTTTTTATCTTTATAATGGAAATCGGTAACTAACAGCATGGGCCATTATTCTGCTAATCATAGAAAATTTGCAGGGTATTATAATTATGGTGATGATGATAATCAAGGTTTAGGCATAGTTCATCTGTAACTTTATAGGACACTGAGTAATACAGAATAAATTACTACATCTCTCTGAGCCTTTGCTTCCTTATTCATAAAATGGAGATAAAATGCAAATCTCTCTGGATTGTTCCAGGGATTAAATTTAAAGCACCCTGGATACAGAATTTCAGTAGATATGAATTATCCTTTTCCAGAAGGACTTGATAAATTATTCAAGCTTCTGCACAGGTTCTTAAAACAAATGGTTCTTTCCTAGGCTTTTCCAGCTTTTAGTGAAAGGGGCAGGAGTGTTGGTACTAAGTTTAGGATAGCCGTAGGGAGGTTCCACCCAGTGGGCGAAGGAAGACCAGGTGACTGAAAGGGTCTGTGATTCCTAGTTCATGAAGTTTAAAGGGAATTATCAACCAAATCTAAAAGACTTCTAAACATTTGTGGGCTTGGTAGCTGCTACAAACGGAATGTTTCCTTTGGATTACTAATGTAGAAGGGAAAACTGTATTTTTAGATTGCTTTGAAATGACTTTCCCAGTTCTAGAAATGTCATCCATTGTGGAAGTGATACTGAAAAAAGTGAATTCTGTCTTTGAATGTCCAGCAATTTGCCCTACTTTGATATGAAATAAACATTTTTCCCCTTCAGAATTAGTCTTAATATTAGAATCAACTTTACTTATTTACTATTAGAATCAACCAGATTGCCTTTAATTTTCAGAGTGAAATGGAGAGAAAGCAGACATCATCATTTATTCTCTGTAGTAGCATAGAAAGTTAGGTTTTTCAAAGTAGGATGGTGTTTGGGGAGCCCTTGATAGGTTTGCTCAGGATAAAAACCTATTCAGTGTTAGGAAAGAAGTGATCTCCAAATATTATTGAGTGGTCACTGAGTATTAGGCCCCATGTTAAATGTTTCACAGTTTCATGAGCACAAAGTAAGGCAAAACTAAAAAATTTATCAGATGGGACAGAAAGGTTTTTTTTTGTTTGTTTTAAGAATGACTTGCCATAGTCGAGTCTTTCTAAAGCATTTAACTTAGTTTTCATTGATACAGCTCTTTGTTTTTACATTGATATGTTTTGTATATTAATTTTATTTAGATACAATTCACATAAAATTTACCCTCTGAACTATACAATCAATGACTTCAGTATATCCACAGGTGGTGGCAATCACTACCACTATCTAATTCCAGAACATTTTCATCACTCCCAAAAGAAACTGTATCCATTAGCAGTTACTCCCCATTTCCCCCAGCTCCTAGCCCCCTCAACCACTAATCTACTTTCTGTCTCTAGAGATTTGCCTATTGGGACTCCTTTAGTTTACCATGATGTTTTCAAGGTTCATCCATGTTGTAGCATGTATCAGCACTTTGTTTCTTCTTATGGCTGAATGAAATTCTATTTGTATACCACATTTTGTTCTTCCACTCATCGGTTGTTGAACATTTGAATTTCTACTTTTTGGCTGCAGGCCCTTTTTCTCCTGTTTAATTTTTTTAAAATAAAATATAATTCTCAGGACAGTTTTAGATGTATAGAAAAATTGAGCAGATAGTAGTAGAGAATTCCCATATTCATTCCCCAGCTTGCTATACTCACACATTTAACATCTTCCAGTAATATGGTACATCTGTTACAATTAGTGAACCAATGTTGTTAATTATTAACCAAAGATATCTGTAGTTTTTACCTAATGTCCTTTCTGTGTTCCAAGATCCCACCCAGGACACCACTTTACAGTTGGTAGTCATGTCTCCCATTTTCATCTCCTATCAAGGGTGTATACTATCAACATGATTTATGACTGTTGACATTGACGTTGGTTATCTGATCGCAAGTCTTTGTCAGGTTTCTCCAGGATAATGTCATTCACCTTCCCACAACTTCATACTGTATTCTTTGGAAGGAAATCTATGCACTGCCCACAGTAAAAGAGTAGGGGTTATGTGCCACTACCTCAAGGGCAGAATACCTACCTAATTTATTTGGA